TTATAAGTTAATACAGCAGTTAATAATAGCAGTAATTTTCATTTTATTTCGAATTTTAATTATTTTTTTTAATGTTATATAAGCGAGCACTTAACATAATATTATTTCCCTAAATTTTTGTCACGTTTGATGTGTCTGCCGGAAATGGGAGTGAAAAACTGAGCAATAGTCAAAACATGACCAGGAATATCTATTTCCCATTGCCAGCAGCGCAATATAATCATGAAAGCGTGAAAATTGTATTTTATACCGATTTCTTGTACGATACAAAGTATATGAAATATGTGCACTATCTGCAGCCCTCTAATGTATCATTTGTGTACTCCAATACGTTAACGTATTTTTATTCCGTCGGTTTATTGTGTTTCTCAAATTGTTTTTTTGTAACCAGTGATTTTTCTATTATTGCGTTTTAAGAAAACCGTTCTATGTCTTGTTCGTGATTTTCTATGTACGCTGTCCATCTAACTTGTCATATTCCTTTATATGACAACGCTAAGTCTTCTGCTGCTACGGTCGGCATTCGGTCTGTCATGAATCATATGCGTAGCAAAGAAAATAGCTTATCAAACCGGTCACTGACCGCGAGTATGTCATACATCCTTTTCCCTGTCAACGTGTACCGTGTCGGTAAAATCTTTGATTTCTTAGTAATTTTATATCCGTTGGGTAATTTTTGGATCATATTTTTTATTCAAATTACACGAAAACTGAACTGCCGCCGGTATTGCATATAACAAACACGCAGTTGATACTAAAGTGAAGAAAAACACATGAAACGTTGATTTGTATTCGCTTTACCTACTTGACTTGTTATTTAAAAAAAGACTAATTAATTGTTATCGATGAATTAATTTCAAAAACAACGGTTTTGTTGAACTGAATCCGTTTTTTTTATTGCAAAATTAACAATTGTGCCTTAATAGATAATATTCTTTTTCTATTTCAATTAATTTCTACTTTTTATTGACCTTTTGATGTATAATCAGAATACATTAGCTGTCCACTGCAGGGAATTAATTTAATATAAATGTGTAATGGTTTGTGAATTTGATGTTGTTAAAGCAGTTTGTCGTTCGTCTCGTGTTAAAAAAAAAAATCGTTGCACCGAAAACGAAATCATTATTTTTATTTTCACACTTGTTAGCGACCAAACAGGCAAGTAATAATAAATAGCTTTTTGACGTCAAGGTCTACAAAATTATCCACTTATTAATCGAGGAAACATAATATTAGTTACTGTAATAATAATCAATACTTTTAGATGTTATTATGAAATGCGATGACATGGAACAGAGAAGTTTTTTTTTTATATGATTTTGATCTCGATCTAAACTCATAATTAGTGCACTTGTATAAAATTAAGTTTCGCTGTAATTCAAAACAGTTAATATTGTACAATGATTAATTATTGTACGATATGCTGTAAAATGTAGTGAGGATAAATTTCCTGTTATGAACTAACTATACTTGTTATTGGAATGTAAATACCATAGTAAAAATATTGCAAGAGAATATGAAAGGTTTCTTGTTTGAACTTAAAAACGCTTACATAAGTAAAAAAAAAACGATTATTTACTGTATTATACAAATGATTTCTCAATACTCAAATTTGATTATATTAGTAGTATAAGTATATTGGAGAACTTAATTTGTTTCTTAGAACTTAAACTGTAGCGCCAAGTGTCGAGATAAGTACTTTTGAATCTACTCAATAAAATAATAGTACTTGTTTGTGTATGTTATTTTTGGAATCATCTAAGTCGCAAAGCATTATTTATTTTAGTGAATTTTAATTTAACGAGGGAGAAATAAAGCGATAAGGTTTTGTTTCTACGTATCTGGCAATTAACATTTAACAAATAAATGATTTACGTTTATTCCGATTTTGTATGTCGCCACACTCTTATTTCATAATTGCCCAGTCATTAGTAATAATTGTAATTTTCGTCATTACTTTTGAAACGTTATCAACTCATAATATATTTCCATTGAATTGAGACAATGAAATAGTTATTTATAACTTAATTAATTTAATTTATAGATGAAATAAATAGCTATACATTTAAAATTAAGTGTATTAAAACAAGTTTTAAAATTGTATTTGATTGGTATTTTATACTCCTTCAACAATTGGTCGATGTACTTGCGTTTTGTTGATATGTTTGAATGGTTTTGACATCATCAATAAATCTACATTTTAATTTAGTATAAAATAAATATTGTTACATCCTAGAAAAACTGTGGACACTATTAAAATCATTAGCTTTGTCATCATTAAAAATACACTCTATTAATTCGATTTTAATGATTTTTGATGAAATCAAAAATACTATACACTGTGTGTGTAGGTAAGTTAGAATAAGTCCTTAGATTTCTTTGGGGCATCGAATGACAATACATCTAACAAGTTGTATCTTTATTCGACGTGTGTCGAAAAGAAAAATTATATCTACAGAGAAAGTGTATCCCAATCATAATTGAAAGAAAGCATGACAATACGGGAAAACAGTTAGTCTATACGTATCTGTGTCCTTCGGCATCTCGCTGCAGTTCACATTTATTATTGGGAGGCAAATAGTAATTTGTTTAATTTAAATAATTGAATTACACGACATAGTACGATTTCACAATTTAAACTCTGAATAAAAATAACAACATACGAGTATTATAATAATACACAATTCGTTTTTATTTATGAAAGCTTCCGTAGCCAAAAAATATTACACTTTTATTTGAATTATATTGCCAAAAACAAAACGTAATAAATATCTAGATTTCATTTAGTCGAATGGAAGAATATATTGTTATGAAATGTCATAGTTAATGGAGTATTACTATTTAAATAAATACATACAAAAACAAATCATTGTGTACATTTAATTAGATATTATAGATATAATAGGCCAAGTAAAAACAAAAATAAAACATTATTCCTTTGTTTAATTTTGGCTAATTTAATATTATTGGATTATGTTTTTGAATTTAGACTGATAAATAATTTCAGAGAAATGCAGTTAATCATTTTCCTATTAAAAATACGGAGCCATTCATCGTTTAACAATTTGTCGCGCTTATTTTTAAACCAAAAATGCCAAGTCAATTACAGTCGTCATTCTCTTTTCACACACGACCTCTTTAATTTTTACCTGAAAAAAAAAACTTTTGCCGCGCCTAAATTGAAATAAATGGATACATTTCCGTTTCGCCTCCTCGAGTTCTATGGATGCATAATATTTTTAGACGATTCACGTGTAGTAAACAGAATGATTAAATATATATTTTGAAAAACCTATGGTGGGCAGCAACGACCAGCAGGTAATCGGTGGGTGCTCGATCGTTTTGTGCGGTACTTTATGATAATATCTCGTTCGCATTGCATATGATGATAATAGTATGTGGTGTACACTAATGAATGGTTTCTTCTGATTTTTCTACACGCTACGTTCGAATCGATATCAAAAACACCCGCAGAGTTATGATAAAAACATAAGTAACCGACCACTTTTCAGATTCTTCTCCTCCGGTATATGTTAACGTGTTATTCGACTGATGAGAATTGTGTCTAGTCAATAGCGTTTGACTAGTTTTCAAAATATTTAATTGTGATGTTGCATTAATGTTACAGTATCAGTCGTTTAAAAACTAGGGAACTACTCAAAAACATGCTTTGTTTTCATGGGTTCTGATTCACTGATCGCGTGTTGTTAACAAAAAGTATTGTACGAAAAAATCAAATGTGTTCGACAGTTGTGTTTGTTCACATTACGCGAAAGAAAAATACACTCAAAAAACATTCAACAATATTATTACGGTTGCTGTGCACTCGAATTTTTATTACAACTCGACCTAGACCTAATTTCTTGAATCGAAAACTGAAAGACAAATTATTTTCAGCTTCTTTTCAAGCGACCTAACCTTTAAAAATATGTTACTCTTTTTTTGCGTGTTGGTTTGTTTTTCTGATGAAAAATATCAAAACAGTAATGCTTTTTTTGTGATACAAGAATATTTATTAGAGGCTAATATGGCTGTAGTGTTCCGTTTAAATATCTTTATTTGGGGTTCAAATCGCACCAATTTGGCCGCACGCAGTCTGTATTTTTGATCTCACCTTTTGTTGTCGTTTTACCTTTTTGCTATCCTCCGGTCAATCGTTTTGTCACTTACAATTCGAACGGAACGTGTTAAAATTTGTGAAACTCGCATTTCATTCTCCGCCTGTTCAACAGTACCAAATATGTGAAGTAAAAATATAAAGGGCCCAGCATATGTGTTGTAAACCAATATAATTCCCTGCGTTCACGTTACGAGTTACCATTGATCTCTTTTTTTAAAAACATTTTTCTTCCTATCATTTTGTCTAAGGCGGTGTTGTGTTCTTTGTATCATTATTATTATTATTATTATCGCGCTGTTCTACGCCGGATAAGAGTATTGGATAAAATGAGCTGTAGCGTTCAAGGTGGCTCGACGGGAACACCACTTGAGGAGGTCCATTAAAAAGAGAATTGCTTCTTACTATATATAAATTGTTTATGATAATAACCATTACGGAAATATAACACACCTGTGACCGTTTTAATTCCTTCACTAGGGATCTTTAACTCGGCAAAATTAAAAATTAACCCTTTTTTGTAGTTTTTAAAAATCTATTATGGGATTTTAATTCAAAATAAAGGTAATTCAATAGTTAACGCCCTTGTTTTAAGCTTATCGACTTCATTCAAACCGATACTCGTAGATCAAATTTCGAGTGGTCCATTGAATCTTTATTTATACTCGAGTGTGTTCCGACATTTATACCTTCATCAATAATCAATTTAAAGTCAATTGGTTGACCAAAACTTCTTATGAAGATGTATATTTTATTATTAGGACATTGACACAAGGTTTCAACAACCTAGTGATAACCAAACTGTATTATAATTTTATCTGTGTATTTAAGTTGGCAATTTTAATATAATAAACTACTTATATATTAATATTTTATTTTTCAGGCTCATGTAGTGTCTGCATTTGAGCAGTCCTTGTCAAATATGACCCAAAGACTTCAACAATTGACAGCAACTGCAGAAAAAAAAGTAATTAAATAAAACATTTTGTTTTGAAAAAATCATAGTTTTAATTTTTGTGATGTTTTCAGGATCATGAACTCCGTGAACTACGTCACACTATAGAAATATTGAGAAAACAAAATGTTGAGTCCAATAATTTGATAGGAAATCAAACTAATGGAAATCATCAAAGAAGACACACAATTAACTCTACTGCTGACTCCAGTACTGGTAAATACATGTTTTTTGTGTTGCTCGCATTTTGTATGTCTGTAGATTTACATAGTGCTTACGCTTGGATTTCTTAAAATTTGTGTTTAGGTAATAACATATCACGTCAATTGTCGACAGATTCGGTTTCAAGTTTAAATTCTTTGTCTTCGGCATGCAGTGCATCTAGTTCAGCCCAACAATCTGAAGCTGATAAGAAGAAGAAAAAAGGATGGGTAAGATACATTTTTTAGTTAGCTACATTTATTTGTTATTATCAAGATAAATGTAGAAATGTAAATATGTACTATTTTTTTAAAATTCCACATAATCACAATAGAACCATCAATTGACTTTAAAAATTAAAAAAATAACCCTATTTTACCTTCTTTAGTTTTCCTGTTTGCATATTAAATTAGAATTTGTATATGCACATAAAAAAATTAAATATTAGTATTAATTTGATACATAAATAGAAAAACTGCGTAGGCGAAATAAAAACCCAAAAAAATTAGATTTTGAGGTTATATAAGGACTACTCTATATGTATATACATATAGGTACCACTCGAAAAATTTTTACCTCGTACTTATGCGATTAAGCTTCATAGAGAATAAAGAAAGTGAATTAAAGTTTCTTTTATATCCCCTCCCTGATTAGTTAATTCATGACTATGTTCCTGATTGTTAATGTTTTAAAATATTTAAGATGTTTGACTTACTATAAATGATTACTGATAATTTTTATACATTAAATTTGTACATTAAGTTATATGAAATAGAAATTTTTTTATTATAGTTGCGTAGCTCTTTTAACAAAGCATTTTCACGCTCTAAGAAGAATCGTAGTAATTCTCTGTCAGATGCAGAAGAAGCGCAAATTGCTCGTTCACATCAAAATACATTCCTCTCAGATCTTTCTGCACCTTCATCACCACTTCTTAGTACTTCTCATATGAATGGATTAGGAATAAAAAATTATCATTCCTCTACCACGTTAGTTATAGTTTGTTTATTATATGAAATATATTTATACATTTTTATATTTAAATGATTATTTTTTTTAGGAGTTTGTATGATTGTGATCGTGTAGAGCAAGATTCAAGCCCTGAACTATTAGACCAACTAAAAAAGCAACTAAGAGAAAAAGACCTTGTGTTGACAGATATAAGATTAGAAGCTTTGAGTTCAGCTCATCAACTTGAATCGCTAAAGGATACAGTTATTAAAATGAGAGTATGTAAAATAAATCGTGCATATATATTTCTTTTGTAAATAAATGTTTAATTCTTAATTTTTTTCAGAATGAAATGTTAAATCTAAAACAAGACAATGAAAGATTACAAAAAATTGTAACTAATCAATCTCTCCAATCAAGTTGTAGTTCCTTATTATCTCCTCCAATATCAAGTCATACTCAAGGTATTTTTTAAATTATTTTTTTTATTAAATAATGTTTTAATTAATTTGATATTTTATGATTTCCAGGTGAAGAGTCTACAGAATCATTAATAAAATCAGTAGACTCTGATGCCTGTTTAGTTCAAGTTAAAGTGTTCCTAGGTAGTCACGGTAATTATAATATGTATAATGAAAATAAAGATAAAATGTGTATCATATGTGCAATACCTGTTTCTCCAAATACAAGATGGGATATGATAGATCATCTTGTTGTTAAAGGGTTTAAAGTAAATACTTTTACTGTATATACATGATGAACTCTTAAAATTAATGGCTTTAATTTATAGGATTATGTAGAGCGTATTGATCCGTTAACAAAACTTGGACTCTGTAGCGACTCAATATGGAGTTATCATGTTGATAATATAGTTCGTTATACATCAAACTCATTAGATAATAAGACACCTAACAAGACTCCTTATGAATGTTTGGCTAATAGCTCCCATATATCTATTTGCTTAAAAGGAGCCATGCATTCTGGAAGTTTGGATGCATTAGCTTTCAACACGTTAATACCAAAAACCATTCTTCAAAGGTGAAGTATATTCTATTCAACATCAATTCAAATTATTTTATATCATGCTTAAATTTATTTATAGGTATGTATCCTTATTAAGTGAACACCGTAGAATCATTTTATGTGGACCTAGTGGTACTGGTAAAACTTACTTGTCAAATATGCTTGGAGAATTTTTAGTTATAAAAATGGGTAAAGAGAACAACTCATCCAATATTGTTACTTTCATGTTAGTAAATAATAATTAAATAGAAAATAATCTAAAATAAAATACTCATATCATCAAATGTTTTTTTCTAGTGTTGATGATAATACCAACAAAGATTTGCAACAGTACTTATCTGGAATTTCTGATCAAGCTGATCGTGATTCTTCTAAAATTCCAAGCATTGTGATTTTAGATAACTTACATAAAGCTCTTTCTTTACCAGATGTGTTCAATGGATTCCAAAGCCCTAATTGTCCTTATATAATTGGAACAATTAATCAGTCAACTTGTTCTACTACAAGTTTGCAATTACATCACAATTTTAGATGGGTGCTATGTGCTAACCATATGGAACCTATGAAAGGCTTTCTTGGTCGCTATCTTAGAAGTAAACTAGTAGAGCATGAGTGTCGACTTGGCCAAAGAAATACTCAGCTCAAAAAAGTCATTGATTGGATTCCTGAAATTAGAAACCATCTAAATCAACTTCTTGAAACTCATAGCTCATCTGAAATTACTCTAGGTAATTTATTTATTTTTTTATATAACATTTCTTTGATGAATATTTTTTATTTAAACCTTTAGGGCCTGGCATGTTTATTTCTTGTCCAATGGAACTAGAAGCTTCTCAAAAATGGTTTACAGACTTGTGGAACTATTCTTTAGTACCATATATTATGGAAATGGTCCGTGAAGGAATAAAATTGTATGGTAAAAGAGCTTCATGGAAGGATCCTACATCTTTTATTATCCAATCATATCCATGGTCGAATATTGCCCATAAGACTTTAGAATCATTTATTAGAATTAGACCAGAAGATGTAGGATATGATATGGAACAAGATAATGATCCTTTGGTAAATTTTATCTTATTCTTATAGTTTTATTGTCAAATTATTATATAATTGGCAATTTTCTTTCATACATTATGTGACAGTAATTTTTATTTTACTTTCTTATGATATGAATAAATTATTGTTATACTTTTTCTTTTTTAGTTAAACATGTTAATGACTCTTCAAGAAGCAGCAAATTATTCTAGTCCTCAAAATGATAATGAAATAAGTTTGCCTAATGGTACTGGAACATTAGCAACATTGTGAAAAGGTTTTTCATTATATATAGTATAATTGATTGTTTGTGATTTTTATTTTTTAAGTTTACTTTACCAAATGAATTTTTGGTAAATTTTCCCAAAGACGTTGTTTTTACCAAATACTTGAAAATCTGCAAAGCCAGCAGTCGACTATTTTTTTCATCAATTAAATTTATTTTTTAGCTCAACATTTTATAAATATAAATGTAATAACTTTATAAATATTAAATTATTTTAAATGAAATATTTCTAAATATTTTTATAATTATTTTATTTATGATAGACAATAACATTTATGACTTATTATATAAAATCCGTGAGTCTGTTTTTTTATTTAATTGATAAATATCTAATTTGTATTAATGAAATATTAATTCTCTTTTAATAACTATTATGTCTTATTTTTTTTAAGCATTGGAATTTAATTAAAAAATTAAAGAACATCTATGTGTTCCATATCTATTTTATACAATATACATATTTATATTATTAATTGAAGACATCAAAAATAATTTTTACCAAAACCAAAGTTTTTTAACAATATACATTAAATAACAATTAATGATCTTTATGTTGTTAATAATTATGATAACTATGTATACTTAATAGCTTAAATAAAATATTTTCTATTGTATATTGCTGCATCACATTTAATTTGTTTTATTTAAAACATATTTACTATTGTAAATTGAAAAATGTGTATAAAAATACTCCCGGTGCTTCTTTTTTTAATTTTAAGATTTGCTAATAATTGTTTTATATGATTATATTTGTATTATAATTGGCAATAAGTATTACCTACCTTGCTTCATGTACTGTTATAAACTTGTTATAGAGTGATTTTGTATTATATTACTACTAAATATTTTTTATTTATTTGTACATGTTTATTATTATACATTTTAGTATAGTACAAATTTCTCGTCTGTTAAAAACTATTAATAATTTAAACTACAATAAATCTTCAATTTAAAAATATTTTGTTTACACTTAATTTTATTAAAATTAACAATTAATAATTAAATATTAATGAAAAACTAAATGTATCTGTGGTAATGAAATGCAAACTTTTCAAAAAAAAAATTAAGGTGTTAATTAAACATAATACTTAAGGTATACATTGTTTTCCAGAACTTGTTATTTTACAATATCTTGTGCCATTTTAATGATACCCGTTAGAGGAGAAGTATCTTTGTTGGTTAAAAAGTTCTATAACATAAATTAATTAATATAATTATAACATAATCTAATAATTTCAAACTGTTTTAGCTTTTTAGTCTACTTACAGAATTAGAATTATGATTAATTTGTAAATGTGGCGACACATCAAAAGTGAAATTTTTAAACAGTGCATTAGTGATCATATTGGGTGAATTTTTTACTAAGTCATTTTTGATGTTTACTTCACTGTCAAGTGAACAATTAATAAATTCATTTTTAATTTGTTCTAGTTCTTCTAGGTTACTGACTAAACTGCTCTGTGATTTTATAGATGGCTTAGTACTATGTACAGAACTAAATGACATATCAGATAACTTTTCTTCTATATTTTCGGTGTTATATAATCGCCATATTTTTTGTTGACTCAAAGATACATCAGCATTGCAATCTGAATTTTCAGACTCTATAGCTAATGCCCAATCAAAGTTTTTCTTTATATTATTCCAAGAATCATTGCTAGTATCACACTCTATTGTGTTGTTTGAACCATTTAAATTATTTATATTACTTTTGTAAATTTGACCACATTTTATAAAATTATTGCTATTATCTAATTTTAAAATAGAATCCGAATCTGAAAATGACATATCACTGAAATTGTTCGCTGCAGTACATATGCGTTTAGTTGCGTTAACTTTAAGATCAATTGTATTATAGTCGTTTGAAATTTGATATGAATCATTTATAAAATTTGATGTACTGTTTGTAATACTTAACCATTGCTCTTTCAATTTTCGAAGATCCAAACTGATATCCAATTGACTATCGCTCGAGTTTTCTATGTCTGATAATATTTTATCTTTTTTTTTAGTATATCTAAGTTGAGTAGACATTTTCTTAGATTTTCTTGAATTGCTGCCTCTCCAAAGAACGTTATCAGTTGCATATTTAGATACAGATATTTTTGAAAGATTTTTTAAAATATGAGAATGTGGTATTGTTTTTTTTAAATCATTTCTCGATAAAGAACTAGACGGCGTTTCTAAAAACATTTCTCTAACTCTGTTATTTATTGTGCTAGGCGTATAACAACTGATGTATGAATGTTCTTTTAAGTTTTGAGTGACTTCAAACATTTCGACACTTCTGTTTGATAATATTTCTTTTGACATATTTTTCTTTTCTTTTTCTCCGTTATATTTTGTTAAATTCTTTAAATCAAAACATTTCAAACTACTAGTATCATTATTTTCTGATGAACATTGTCTAAGGTTTTGTTTAAATGTACTATACGATGTAATTGAACTGCTCAGGCTTATGTCATGTCTCCTCTTTTTAATTAATGACGATCGATGTGGACTTTCGATTTCTTCTTCAATCAATTCAATGGAGTCATTAATTATTGACCTTGTACTAACATTCTTTATTTCATAGCTCATATTTTTATCATTTATATAAGTTATTAGTTTTGGTGTAAAAACATTAATCTGGGATGATTGAAGTTCTTTCTCAAATGTTTTCTTTACCTCAATGCTTTCGTCATAACTTCTTATTTTTGTCGTAGAAATTGATTTCAAACTAAGGTTAATACTTTCAATAGTATTTTTGTTATTTTGTAAAATGTTACTGTAATTATTATTAATAGTTGACAATGAATTTTCCCTTGGCCAATAATTTTTCCTGATAGAATTGTCATTTTGGTGTGAATCAAATGATTTCTTTTGCAGCGAGCTTGAAATAAAACTTTGAACTAGCTTATTTGTTTCCTCGTGGAGTTCAATTGATGATTGGATACAACTGTTACTATTTTTTGGTGATTTTGTTTTATCAGTATTAAAAGATATAATATCATAATTTTCACGTCCAGTTAATTTTTTTGAAATACATTCGCTGTTATTTTCGTAAGCTGCAAACATTTGTTTTTGTTTGCAAAATGTTTTAAAAGATTCCTGATACAAAATTCTTTTTATTTTAGATCCTACAATTAAAAAAATTATTTTAATTTATTTTTTCAAACTAAATAACAAAGCAATATCTTAATACTATGTATTTACCTTTTCTTTTAAAATTTTTCATTGGATAATAGCGCTTATATTTTTTATACATGTTTATAAAATTCCTTAATATGAAAATGAGTCATAAAAAAAAAATTAATACAACTTTAAAATTTAATATAGAAATACAAATATATTTCTTTTAAATGTTTAAACTATATGATTTAACACCCAGGTGTGTAAAATAATTTGGTTTCAATGAAACAAGTTTTAATTGTTTAATATGTCAATTTAAGTTTATTTGAAATTATAAAAGTATAAGAAATTTTTTTATTATGAATTTACCAAAATAATGAAATAGGTAATTATCAAATTTTACTTCCCTAAAGAATAATATTTTCCAAATTTATCCAAGTATTGAAAAAATCTCGCTTCTTTTTAAATAAACTTACCTGAATTTATAGACACAAAAATCATTTGATCATAGGTCATTTCGCCTATTTTAATATCTTATAATTTTTATTTTAGTAATATACAATCTACTACAAATTAGAACAATAAGTATAAAAGCTAGGAGTTAAGTTGTTAGTTATGCTACGTATGAAAGAAGACAGTATGCTACCTATTGATAGTATAGCTTTTAGGTATGAAAAAGATTTACTGTAAGATTTTTTTTTAAATTTAATTCAAGTTAACTCTGCTCCAATTACACTCAAGACATCTATATAAGTCTTAATAATCTTTATAACAATTAAAAAAAATTATATCCTGAATAATTAATATAATTCAAACATATTTCAGCTATTGGCTATAACTTTGAAATCTAGTCCACAAAATACATAAAAATGTAATAATTTACATGTTACTTGTTATAATGAAATAAGTTTAATAATATGTATTACCAGTTACTAAGTAATATTGAATTAGCTTTTGAATAAATAAATAAATAAAATATAAACCTACTTATCTGGTTCTCCGCATACTGTTGGGATTCCAAGAGATTTATATGTTTTTCCAATTATTTGTTTATATGGTAAAAAACTGTAACAAGTTTTTATGTACGCAATGCTTTTATGAAATATATCATCAAGCGGTGAATATCTCTTATGTTTGGGAATATTGAAATGTATAGCCCATATAAATGGTTCAATTGGGACACGACAAATGTTATTATTGTGATTTTTAATAATATAATTTTTAAATTCTTTTTCTTTTAACATTAAATCTAAAATTTGCTTTTCGTCTAAAATATATATAATATTATTAATATGATTTGTCAAATAATATACTTTGAATTCATTAAAATTAGATCACTATTCATAAATTAATAATACATTTTTATAATTATTATACTTTAGACTTAGTAAGAATGTCAATATAAATTATTGATTTGAGGTATTCATAAATATTTTAATAATTTTATTGGAACAGTGTAAATTATTGTAATAAAGATAAAATTGTTACTTTAACTTTATATTATGAGTTGTGATAACAATTTTTATAACATTAAATCCGATAATAATTTTTCTCTAATTTTATTTCTTTAATTTTGCATTCTTAGACTACTATTTAATAATAGTATTATCAATACTTTATTATTAACATATATAAAAGTAACAACGGGAGTGAGTACTATAAAAGTTCAAGTTTTTTAAAAACTTCCAAGTTAAAAATGTTAAGACTATAAGTTATGATTTATAAATTATATATAATAATGTAATATTTAATTTACATGAATAGTATAAGATACTGTGCAATTTATAAGAAAGCATTGTTTTCAAAAAAGTAATAGTGCGCATTTTGTTTGGGGGAATTGTGTGCATTTATTAAACGTTGATGGCCAAATTTAATAAAATATATCTTCACATTTCGTTAGACGAAAATGTAAACTATTAATTATAGTATAAGTACAAATTTAAAAGAATAATTTAGATCTATCCTTTATTTCGGCTTTAGTAAGTTAAAGTAATTTTTAAAACTAAAATGGATTCTGATTAAGAAGACTTAAGTACTTTGTTCATCTTATGAAATAGTTTCTATTTAAAATGATTTGTGATGATTCTAAATTAAAAAAAATAAGCGCGCATCATTACTCTGTATACTTAATAATAATGTCATGCTAATTCCTACTTCACAATATTTTATTAAGGTATTAATTATGAAGTAATTAGTTAAGAAAGAAATTTTTGAAATTGTTTTAATGTCGCTCAGTAGTTAATCATTAAAATATTTTTTTTAGCTAATAAATAAAAAATTCAACATACTCTCACATGTATCAAATATTCTGACTTCCATAAATGTCGTTTTTTAAATTTAGTTTTCTTAGTTTACTTTAATTAGCGTTACTGATTTGAGTTATTTACATAAATATAAATCATTTAATAAATTATTAACGGTAGTTCATAAAAATGATTTTGTTCTTCCATGCATATTTTCCTCTATATAAAATTCTGCGGTTTAGAGTAATAAATATTCTAGTAAACAAAACTATTGTCAACTTTTAAATTCAAAGAGTTAATAAATAAAATTTGTAGTTATTATTTATCTTAATAATACATTTTATTGCATAATTAAAATATATACAGTTATATAGCACAATAAATATAATAGCAAAGTGTTTATGAATAATGTCAAATATTGATAGCCAATCATGGGTATAAATTATAACTATAGTATAACATCAAATTTTTAATCCACCAGTAATTTTATTAAATGTGTATTTTTAGATTAAAATTTGTATTTTAAAAATGTATAAATTATTAAAAAGTTGTAGAGATATTTAAAAAGTAATTGATAATACATAAATTAAAAATGTATTATGGTTTTGTTTATTTTATTTTTAGAACATTTTATTATATATTATAGGTTGTTATTTCAGATACTCCTTGATTAGAAAAATTATTTTTATTTTCATTTAATGGAAAGAGGAACACTGGGGTAATCATAGGAAAATATGGGTGTCATATCCTCTTATGACAATTTTTATCATATTTATATATAATTATTTTAATTATATGGCAAAGAGAATTTTTTTTTCGTTTGAACGAGAAGTGAAAAAGTTTTTTATGTATATCCCTCTCTAAGAATGAACTCTAATTATGCCATTGGAGAGAAATTTTTGAAATATACATATCCTATACTTTCTATACTGACTAATTTCTTTTCCTTGATACAATTTCAGAATTTATATAATTAAAATATTGTTTATTAGCACTTTTACAAAAAAAAAATTTTGTCAGTGAGTATACAAATTTTATTTTTTAAGTGAATACAAAATAAAAGGTGTTGTAATTTTGTGTTTCAAAACTGTACAATTTTTCAAAAAAGAACATCTTAAATATTTATCTTTGAATTAAATCTAAATTAATGATTTTGAAAATAAACTTGATTTTATTTTTGGTATTATTTATTTTGATACCGTCATGATGGTATCAATTGACACTAGACGTGTCAATGGTAGTTTTAGTGGTAAGAGCGAGGATTGGAGATTAGAACTCCTTAGATACCGATATTTTAATATTGTTTAATAATTAGAGCAAGACTAATATGTATTTCTAGTTAATTTTATTCTTTAGGAACTGCCTAAAAGAATGTTGAAAATTCGCAATGGATACGGTTTGGTACATCTTATACATTTTCATACTATTTTTTGTTTAATAAATTTTCATTTTGGTTTTTAAAGTATGGTTAACAACATTTTATTTTTTAATTTTAAATTTACCGCTCTTTTTATAAACCCACGAAATAGAATCTCCCTGGTATTTAAATGAATCGATTATTTTGTTTCTTTTGAGGTAGTTATGTTTTAGAACGGAATATTAACATAAACCAATTACCAGGATTACCTATCAAAATTTTATTTTCTATCAGCAATTCTTTTACTTGACAGCTCAATAAGTGTTTGTCTACTTGAATAATTCCGTCTGTTCTTTCTTTATTTTTTATGTGTTATTAATTTATCGTAAAATGCATTGATAACTAGTATTGATCATATAATTTTTGACACTGATTTTCTATTTAAATGCAGTAAATTTCTACGTTCATCGATAACAATGAAAATCAGCATCAAAATACTTAACGGACAGGAATGTTCATTTGATGTGAGTATGGATGCTTTTTAAACATTAGTTATTACGTTACGTTGTGTAGAAAGTACAGACTCATTTAAATTTGTCTGCATTTTTTGGGTAATAAAAGCCCAAATTTCTCTCACATCACCGACATTGATGTGTGACGAGGTTAAGTCATCTTCTATTAAAGATAAAATACCACTAATGTCGTCACCAAGGGAACCCTCACGCCGTGACTCGCTCACAGCCCAAGAAGAAGAGACTCTTAAATATGGAGCTGAACATGTTATTAAGTTGTTTGTACCTGTATCTTTATGTATGTTAGTTGTAGTAGCTACTATAAATTCAGTAAGCTTTTACAATGTTAAAGATATTTTCTTAGTTTACACACCGTTTCATGAAACTAGTCCTGAAGTTTTTACTAAAGTTTTAAATGCACTTGCTAATTCACTTATTCTAATGACTGTTGTAATTGTGATGACAGTTATTCTGATATTGTTATATAAGTACAGATGCTATAAGTTTATTCATGGATGGCTCATTATGTCATCTTTGTTACTTTTATCTATGTTCACAAGCCTTTACATTGAAGAAATTTTACACACCTACAATGTTCCTATGGATTATTTTACATATTTGATAGTTACATGGAATATAGGTATGCTTGGTATGGTATGCATACATTGGAAAGGTCCATTGCGACTTCAGCAGTCTTATTTAATATTTATAGCAGCTCTTTTAGCTTTGGTATTTATAAAGTACATGCCAGAGTGGACAACATGGGCAGTATTATTTGTCATATCTATTTGGGATTTAGTAGCTGTACTAACACCGCGAGGACCTTTACGCATACTTGTAGAACTAGCTGAAGAACGTAATGAACAAATTTTTCCTGCATTAATTTATTCTTCAACTGTAGTATATATGATGAATCGTTCAGATAGTACTGATACAACTGATAGCCAGAATGGATTTACAAACACATGGGTAGAAGAACGAAGACAACCACAGACACAAGAAGTAACAGTGGTAAGAAGACCAATTGATGAAGATGAAAAAGGAGTAAAATTAGGACTTGGAGATTTCATTTTTTACAGTGTTCTTGTCGGCAAGGCATCATCTTACGGAGATTGGAATACTACTTTGGCATGTTTTGTAGCTATACTTATTGGTTTATGTCTGACATTATTATTATTAGCAATCTTCAGACGTGCTCTTCCTGCATTACCAATATCAATCACATTTGGACTGGTGTTTTATTTTGCAACTCAAGGATTAGTTAAGCCATTTGCTGACATGTTGGCTTCTCAACAAATTTTTATATAATGTGTTGTGTTTTTCATTGTTATATATGATTTTTTACATCATTCAAATAGTATTTCATGTTCTAATAATTTATAATTGAGAATACTTAATTTTATTTTATTAACTCTTTCAATATTTTTCATATTGCAAGTATTAACAATTTGCATATTATGAATTTAATTTAAATAATTTAACTTTTATACTTACATTATAATAATATACTAATAGCTAAGTTTATTTTTAAATTTTGTTTTCATCTATGTTTTCCTTATATAAATCAGATGTATACTTTAAACATTCGACTTTTAGTCTGATACATAGAAAATAACTAATGAAAGAGTTAGAATTTGAAAAATATTATGTTTAAATAAAATAATTAACAAATAATAAATAATGCTATTCTAAAATTATTTTATTGAAAGAGAATGGTGTGTATAAAATAATTATACATTAATTCTTCATTTCCTAAACCCTTAATTTATAATGATTTAAGTAATAAATTAATATTGAAAAATATCATTTTCATTAGAAACCATATTTTGTTATCATTTTGTCAGTGATTATATATAAGTGAAGATCTTAGTATTACTACATCTAAAATGTATGTTCTTGAAAATGTTTATGAAAGGTTAACAGTAAATTTTGTTTTATTGCTGAATTTTATAATAGTAACTAAAAGTGCTCATTCAAGTAGATATCTTAGGGTACCAAAAGATTATTAATAAAATTACAAGTGATTCTTCAAATTTTTTCTGTGTATAAAAAACTTGTGTTGTTTTCCTTTTTGGTGAAAATAGTGAATATTTATATTGTTTCATATCATATTTTAGGTATAGTTATGTGTTTTTTTCAGTAATGTAATCAATAAAAAAAATATTATTTTAATAAAAAATGTGTTTTAGGTTAACAGTGAAATGACAGTTGCAGAATTAAAAAATCATGTGTTTGAAGCACTGAAGGTTCCTGTTAAAGATCAAAGACTACTTCTTACTGGTCGTCCATTAAGTGGTAATTTATTTTTTATTTTTTTAATAATGCTTAAGAAAAGGCTAAATACTTATAATTTTCTTTAGATGAAAAAACATTAATTGATTATCCACAAATTAAAGATGGTACTAGACTTAATCTAGTGGTAAAACAACAACCAATCATCAAGACTGATGAATTAGAAGAAATGATTACTAGACATGTACGAGCACATTATAGCAATGAAGACACTGTTAAAGTCTTAAAAGAATTTATGAAAGAATTTGATCGTTCACTCACACAATTTAGTTTAGATGATTATGAACGTATGGCAAAATCATTATTAACCCATGAAGAACAGCCTCAAAAAAATCCTTAATAATAAACAAAGCATTTTGTAATATAATTTAAATAAAAATTTAAGTAATCTATTTTTATCTATTTCTATTGATGTTATACTAGTTTATTTGACTATTGTAGCCACAATATTTTTTTTTTGTATAGGCTTTACAATAATTATATATAATGCTAAATTTGTTTTTTTTTGTTATTATTTATTATTGCATTTCAAGAGCTAAAATTTAAACCATGACAAGTTTTTATTTTTATTTTGTATATTCATAATTTACAAAAAGTTAATAATCATCTCCTTTGCTAATGATTTCTTTACATGTTGGTCTAAGTACAATGGTGTGTTCAAATTGTGCGGTGTAACAACCTTTGATATCACACAAAGGAGGATAAGCATCCAAAATACCTAAAAAAAAAAAATTAATCAAACTAATATTTATAAAATAAATAAAAATCATTCACCTTTATCACATAAATCTTTTAAAGCCATTTGATATTTAGTTACACCTAATCGGTCAATCCAGCGTTTACAAAAAGCTAGTGTACCAAAATTTTTATTAACAGTGCCGAGTAACTTTTGAGATGCTTGTAAACGTAAAGGTACAAAAGGTGCATCAAAGTTTTTCATGTAATGTGATGTATCCATATCATCACGAACTATTCCACGACCAGTAGAACCAAAAGTTTCAATAGCATAAAATTCATTTTCTTCCATTCTAGTTGCTTCTCCTCCTTTAACAATTGGTACAGTTTTACCAGCATGGATTCCTAAAAAAAAATTTAATTGAAATCTTCACATTAATGTTTAAGAATAATTAAGTTGTATATGATATAAATAGAACTAGATAAAAACCAATTAATATCTAAATTTTTGAAAGGTTTTTTTAATATAGATAAAAGGTTAGCTTTTTCATCCATGTTTAATTAATATTTTCATGATATTTCTATTATTACTATATGCATCGATTGAATGTCCATTGAGATTTCTAATTGACTTTACAGGGTATGTTTTACCATCAAGTTCTACTTCATATGATTCCATTACTTCTTGGATAGCTTCACCAACTTCACATAATTTAACATCAATTCCAGCAGTCTAATTAAAAATGTTTGTGATTAAGATCTATTTAAAAATATTTTATTATATCAAATATTACTTTAATGCCGGTATTTGTAGCATCCCTAACTGCCTCAACTAATTTATCATATTTGGGGTTGAAAGTCAAAGTAAATGCACAGTCAATGATACGCCCTAAAAAATAATAATCATTTTTAATGTAATAGCATATTAAAAAATTTATCAGTATGAATTATAAAAAAAGTTTTTTACCATTTACATGAGTACCAAAATCAATTTTGGTAACATCATCATAGAGTAAAACAGTAGGATCACCAGCATTGGGTGTATAATGAGCAGCACAATTATTTCTTGAACAACCAGTAGGAAATGCTAAACCAGCTTTTAAACCATCTTCTCCAATCAGAGCTCTAGAGCAACGTTCTAGTTCTTCACAAATTTCAATCATTGTCATACCAGGTTTAACCCAGTTTTGAATATGTTTGCGAACCTATGTTTGAAATAATTTTTAAAGAAAAAAAATTAATTGTGTTTAAATTTATAGTTACTTGTCTATGAGCTTCAGCAGCACGTCTAGCATCATTATAATCATCATATTTAGAACGTTCAATGGCTCGTTTTTCTTCACTTGTTATACGTTGCTTTCCCATTCTACCATCATATTCAAGTTCTTGGCCAATTGGATACTCACCTAGTTGTTTAAAATAAAATTGTTTATCATTGTGAGATGAGGAATTATCAATTTTACATTTAAATTGACAATTTAATTATAATAAATATACGAAACAAATAATTCTTATGGAGTAATTATAGAGTAGATAAAAATATTACTTGTTGGATATAATTCATGAATTGGTATTGATGGTGGATTAGTTTGTTTTTTTTCTTTGGACTCCTGTTCTTTACTCTCCTTTTTCTTTCCACGTCGTCTTGATTTTTTCTTTTCTCCATTAACATTAGAATCCTCCTCCATATTTATATTGGTTACTCCATTAGTTACTTCTTCATCTACTTCATCTTTATCATTAATTTCAATTTCATCTATAATTTAACTCACTTTAATAAAATAACTAAAATTTAGAAATTTCAAAAATAGAAGGAAATAAAGATAATAAAATTTAAATAACTTCATTCACTTAATTAAATCGAGTTATTAATTTACCAGTAGCTTGTGATTTCTTCTTCTTACGTTTTCTCTTCTTTTTTGTGACAGAAGTATCTTCAACGATATTTTCCTCTTTATCATTTTCAAATGATTCATCGGCCTTTTTAACAGTTTTTGATTTACCAACGTCATCTAACACAGCAGCCATAACTTTAAAATAACAATTATCAAAATCTTTAATAGTGATTAATACATAAAAGTATTATCTACTTTAATAATGACTAAATAATAATTCCAAAATGTAGAAGTATAACTGAATAGAAAGACACTTTAAGCAACAAGCAACAGGGCATATGACAGAATATCAAACTCGAGTTGGTCCTTGATAAAATATTTGAGGTTATAAATACTGGTTATCTGTATATTTATTTACCAATACAAATTGTTATACATTGTAGATATTAAAAATTAAAATAAATTAGATAAGTAAGTTTAAATAATATTATAATTTAATTCAATTTAGTCGTAATATTTAATTTTATTGACATTCTTATGACTCATATCATAAGAGTTAGATTTATTTATTTGAATAGGATATTTCAAATCAGTAACCGTTATAGAGACATAGATAGACAAGAATTTGTTTTGTTAAGGGCAAATATAATTGTTTATTATTTTAATAACAACATAATGCATATTATTCCTAGGCTGATAATATAGTTCAGACGTTAACGCGTCGAGTTTCATTAAGAAAGTAACTGGGTTCGATTCTGTTGCGCTAGACTATGCAAGTTTTCCCGTCTTGTCTGGCACAAGAAAAAGTATTTAGAGAGGATGTTTAACATAATGAATAATAATATTAATATTCAATTATAACTGAATGAAATAATCATACTAAATATAACTTATTTTAATTATTAATTTTACTCATGAGAGTTTCGTGACAACACTTTTACACATGTACCTAAAAATCTTAACTAAAGGAGCTTTAATCCCTTCCTTTATTCTTCTCCTAATTCAAAAAAATTAAAAATTAATATTTATTGTAAAATAAAATTTTCAGTGTTCTAATATAATGAGACCACAAAAATAAAACATAAAAACAATTTTTTATTTTTTAAATGTTTCATTACGATTTTTAATTTTTATCGTTTATCAGTATTGCTTTGTTTTTACATTTTTGGTTAATACATAATCACATTAAATTTAATAACTTCTATTATTTACTTTTACCAATCTCTTAAAGAAGTAAATTACTTAGTAAAATAAACGATATTCATTTGAGAATAATAAAAATCTTCTTCTTCTTCTTCCTCGCCTTAATCCCACCCTTATCCTAAACTTCCACTTGACACGATCTCCCACATCCTCTACGCTCACATCAGCTGTCCTCATATCGTATTCAATAACATCTGTCCATCTCTTTTTTGGTTTTCCTCTACCTCTTCTTCCTTCAAAATTCATTTCTACAACTGTTCTTACAGTTTCCGATTTTTCTCTCCTCATAACATGACCAAACCATCTAAGTCTATTTTCTCTCATCTTATCCACGATTGACGCTACACCTATGCTCCCTCTTATATGCTCATTTCTTATCCTATCTTCTCTAGTCACTTCACTCATCCATCTAAGTATTCTCATCTTTGCTATACTCATTCTCTGCTTTACTTTCTTATCAACCGCCCAACACTGAACCATACATCATAGCTGGCCTCACTATAGTCTTGTAAATTTACCTTTCAGCCTCATTGGAATTCTTTTATCGCATAAGACACCAGACGCTTCTCTCCACTTCAACCACCCGCACTTAATCCTGTGTCTTACATTTGAGAATAATAAAAATAACTCTTAAAATACATAAAAGGTAATGTAAGTATATTTTAACAATAAAATAATATAAATATTGTTACTATAAATTTAATCATAATTATAAATAATTACACTTAAATAAAACAAACTCAACATTTCATAATAATTAAAACAGATCTACAGAATTTATAAGTCATTGTAAACAAAAAAAAAAGTCCATTAAATCCGCTTTTCATAATCAATACAATGAAAATAACAGTTTTCATAACTTCNCGCTTTTCATAATCAATACAATGAAAATAACAGTTTTCATAACTTCTTTTTTTGAGTAATTTGTAAAAATATTATTTAATCTTCAAGAATTATTCATCATTAATTTATAAAATATTTTTACATGTAGGTAAATATATAATACGTTCATATAATTATATATTCAAATAAAAATTATATTAAAAATTTTAAAGCGACAAGGATATTTTTTTTACAATTATCAATTTTAAAAATTATAAAAATAAAAAATAATATTAAAATGATATTTTGGTTATTGTATATGTCATCAGTTAATTACGTTTCAAATTTCCATTATATTTGTTAAGCAATCAACAAAATTAATTGAATTGATATAATGTCTACTAGTTAGCTTAGAAAATTAGTCTAAGAAGGATGATGCTACAGTTTCAATAACGAACTTGAGAAATATTTTTAATTAAGATTATCCAAATAGTGTTACATTTTAAATAAATTATTTTTTTGTCTCCTAATTATTATCTTGGTATTAATGTTTTATTAATGCCGAGAGTATACAACTAATGAAAATGAATATCTGTTTTGTAATTATACTTTAGTTATTGTACATCATCAGTACCGCAAAAACCCGATGTGCAGGTATTGTATTATACACAGACTTTGAATCTACATACATTAAGAGCGGCCACCATTTTTAAAACCAAGGTGAAGACAGAGGGGTACTATCAGCATAGGGTCCCAACTTAGTAGTTACGACATTGTGACCTTACATTATTATGGTATTATTTTATAAATAAAACAATTATTATACAAGTACTCTATCTTAGTGCCATCCATAGGGTAATGTGAGGAAGGAGATATCACATCTCCTACTAGGTAAAATATAATCATTTTAGTTGGTAATTTATTAATATAAAAGTATACCATAAAAAAAATTATTAAAGAAAGTCGAACAATTCCAAAAAAATTATTTAATTGGCAAAATTACATTTTTCGGGATAGCCCAGCATTAATTTAAAATTCAATTTGTTCTTATTTAAGATTATAGTTGACTCAAATTTTCATTTTTATCAGTATATTAATAATTGTTATCTCGTCAGAGTTTACTATTTCGTTACATTCTAAGTGTGTTTGAGGAGGTTTTAAAGTCATTGAAACGCTTGCCAAATTTCTACCATAATTAAAGAAATCAAATTCTTAAAATTCAATGAAACAAATTACTATATCTTTATTTCAGTAAAACATTTTTCATTGGTATAAAGGAAAGCAACATCTGTTAGTAATTTTTTAGAGATTATTCACAGTAACGATTTTTGGGGTCGTAATTTTTTTAATTAATATGGAAAGTAATCGGTACTTTGACACTCTCTGATCATTACTAGATAATATTTAGCTATAGTCAGACGTTTGTTAGTTAGGTCTGTAATGAACTCTGTATATTACAGTGAAAGACATTAATGAGGTATTAAAAAAATTAACTAACCATCTCTCAAGATGAATACTTATACTACCCACTTAATAATGCTTAAAAAAAATATAATTATAGTGAATATCAAACTTAATTCTACAGAATAAATCAAAAGAAAAATTATTGGTTGTAATATGTAGATATTTTTTAAGACATTTAATTGAAAACAAAAATTTTCCTTTGACGATTTAACAAAATTTGATTGTATATTTTTATAGGTAACAAAAGTATCATTTTTCGATTCCTTAATTACACCACTGATTTTTTAGGTGATAGGCCAACTCATATTAATTAAAAGTAAAAGGTAGTATTATAGTAACCTATTAAAATTAAAAATATAATTTTGTTGATAAGCTTAACAAATATATTACAGATGATTCGGTTTTTAGGTTTGTTAATTTCGTTTTTAATATACCTATAGGTATTAAGTAAATAGGAATAATCATAGAAAGGTAAAATATGGTAGGTTATATGTAAAATACATATTTAAAGTGTACATAAGTTTTTAACATAATTTAGTTTGAGGTAGTTAAAAAATGATAGCTAAATGATACATTTTTTTAACAAGTCGTTATTTATCAACTTTTACTTTTTGAAAATTGCCTATCTAATAAAGAATTTGGTAGAAAGTTGACAAACATTTTCCTTTGCTGTAAACATATATACAAAACTTATTTTTTATTATTATTGTGCTTAGTACTATTATTATTCAGTCCACGCGGTTTCCGTTCTAGCTGCTCCTCACCACAGCTTTCTTCGTCTGCTTCTGCAGCGCGTTCAGCCACATCTCTTTGAGAATCTTCTGTACCCGTTGATGAGCTGGGTGTTTCAACAGTAACTTCTTCAGGATCCGGTGCTGCTATTTTAACTAGTCGATGCGCATTAGTCCGTGCTGGTATTTTTGGTGGTTCAATTACAGTTTCGATATCGTCATCTTCAGATGTAGTTGTATCACTGGTCGGTGAAGCTACTATGACGGGCGGAGGTCGTCTTGGTGGTACAGCGGGCACGCAAGATGGCTTCGCGGGCAGCGGCGGGGGCCGAGAAACGCCGTTGACGACCGATGGCGGCAAACACTCCCGAACTGTCTGGAAAATATGTTCGGGCTCATCAATGTACACAATGAGAGTTTATTGACTATTAAGTTATAACTATTCGATTTTTATAAAGAAATTAATAATAATTAATTTATCAGGTTCATACAATAGTAGTATTTATTAAAAATACTTAAAACCTTATGTACAGTATTAAATATAAGAAATAAGTAAAATTTATTAAGCGTATTTTCCTAACCTGATTTATTAGGCCAAATTTCTAGCAAATAACGAAGTACATTCAAGGGCTGCTGGAAATCAATTGGCTTTTCTTTATGCTCACTTTGAACCATTAAGACTGGAGCAAGACATATAGATAGATTTTGGGCAGACATTTTATTTCGAGATGATTGAGATACAACTAAGGCCAAATGATCCATTATGTACGTTAAAGTTGCCTAAAGTCACACCAAATAGTCATAGTTTAAATATGATAAAATTTTTATACTTTTACTATGTGAAATTATTATTTGTTAAAATAAAAATATTTTATTTTAACATATAATTATAAATGTAATTTAAATATTAAAAAAAAAAATGTTTACTCTATTTAATTTTGGTAGACAATCTAAAATTGACAACATAAGTTTAGCGTTAGCTTGCGGATCATCTGGTAATAAAACAGTTAATGCATCGAGAAGCATTTGGTACAGACATCGTGTGAATAGAGGTTCTGGAAGTTCTCTGAGATAATCTTTTAAAACTCCTAAAAAAATATTAGAATATTAGAAATTTTTAATGATTGCACAATGAGTAAAATTACCTGTAATAACATTAATATCTGGCACATTATCAGGCGATAAATCAACAGTTCTAGGATTTCTCTCAAAGGCTTCTCGTAAAATTCGTTTTTTAGAGGCAGAACCACATAATCGATAAAGACCAATTATATCTAATCCCCTTCGTTCTATTTCTTCTATGCATCTTCGTATAATAACAGGCACAGATGCTGTAGCTGGTGCTTGAGCTAATGATGATAAAGAACTAGATATAGCGCCGCTTTCTCGAGTAACAACAGTTTCAAGATCAGTGCCTAAATACAAAATTTAATTACAAAAAACAAATTATAGTTTTTAATATTTCTATATTATTTTAATTTACCAAAAAGTCCAGCAGTTTTTATTCTTGGTGGAAGTGTGATTGATGTTCTTAAAGTTTTTCTGAGGAATGTTTGGTATGGATCAGTGTGTCTTAGTCGCAAATATAATGTACCCCTAGGTTCAATTTTTAATGCTAATTGATGCACAGGACTTTCACGAACTAAAGACGCTAAATGCACGGAACCTCTGTAGCATAATTTATGTCTATATTGCTGATCCCATGAATATATTAAAAAGTCTAATTCTTTGTTTGATAGAAGATCTAATTCGAATGTTTCATCCCAATCAAATACAAGATCACCCGTGCGAACTACTGTTCTAGCTTTGTGAACACGATCACATTCCAAAACACAATATAAATCTCTTGAGCTACCAGCTGATGCAGCTACTGAATAAAAGATAAAAAAATTGAATCGTATATTCTTATTTAAATTTAATATTAATGTTTTAATACCAACCATTTGATGGTTGTCCCGGGAGTACTGTTGTTGTTGAAGTTCTTAATCCCCTTCCAGCTAATAAATGTACCCACAACAATCCACTTATAGGTGGAGCATTTTCTACAGTAGATTTTTCAAATTTATACTTTAAGAATTCTAAACATTGCAAAAATAATATTTAAAAAAATGATTTATGGAAATAAAATATGAACAATTTACCAGCTGGATTGATTTCCAATACTCTAGCTCTATCAGCTTGTAAATCAGAACTTGTTGGAATTCGTCGTCCTAAATGTTTAGCTTCAAGCTCTAATAGTTGACGAATTCTTCTTAATGAAGAAGTTCTAGTGTGTCGATCTAAAGTTGATGTTGTAGCCGATGGTAATGCTGTAGTTCCGAGGCCTCTATAAGGTCTTAAATCGGAACTAGTTCCTGAATAGCTCATAAGCTCGGAATGTCTTGTTCTTTCTGGTAAATTCTCAGCACTAAATGTAAACCGTTGAACTTTTTGTTGTTTTATTGAAGAATCACAAACATTACGTATACGATCATAAATAGCACTAGTTGATGGAGCTCGACTCATCCATGCCCTATATTCATCAGCTGTGAATACGCTTGGAGAGCTAACCAATCGATTTTTACGCCGTGATTGAAACTCAGGTGCGCTAAGGTTACCATCACTATCCTCATGATCACTAAAAAATGATGATATTTTAGGATTGTCTTGTGTATTGTACCGCCTTAGGCTTCCTCTTAAACTGTCAATTTCAAATAAATTTCAATTATTATTGAAAAAAAATTTATCGATCAATTTCATATTTCACCTAGTATTTAAGGATGATAAAGGAGTCCTTGGTATTCGTATATCCCTTGGTAGTGAATTTGATCGTAATGAATTACTCCTTGATATTGTTGCACTTCCTAATCTTGATAAATTTGTACTTGCTAAATTTACATTTAGAAAAATGACGATTATTGCAAATTAATCGATGAAAATTTACTTTAAATTTACCTGGTACATTAGAGGATACTCTGTAATAGTATGGCGAAGTTGATGTTACTTTAGTAGCTTCGGTGTCTGATGCATAATCTAAATGTCTAGGTAAAGTTCTTGACGATCCTTGTGAATATTGCGATACTAAACGTGAGCTTGATCCTGCTCCAGCACTACTTCTAAAACCAGATCTCATTAATGTTTGAGATTGACGATATGGCCCTTCAAAAAAAGTAATATATCATTCAAATTATTTTATGAAAATAGTTTAATCAATAATTAATTTAGTAATCTTACGATTTCCATAGTCATATTCTGATCTCGGGAGATATTGGTCTGAACCAGATCTAGGGAGGTTGTTTCGACGTTGTTGCTGTTGTGCTGTAGTCGCGGACATTCTTCTGCCAGTTGAAGAACCACCAGGACAAAATGGATGAACTTTTTCTGCTAATGATTCTAATGTTTTTGGATATGCTTTATCAAATGGTTGAAAATGTTGAGGTTTTGTTTGCTCGCTTACGATGGGTGGCCGAGGAGGTTGATATGACCAGTTGTTACGTCGATCAAGCTAAACATATACATTTTTCATTTTAAGTTATTTATAATTATACCAATGTATTTAAGTTTTTAATATTAAATTAAAAATTTTTCTTTAACTGAGAAATTAGTTAAGTATAATAAATTAAAACTTACTGTAGATGCTTGTCTTCTAGAATCTGGCGGTCTTGAATTGTAAAATAAATCTCCTGAAATATCTCCATTTGAATCCAAAGCTAGTTGTGACTGTGATTTTCCTCTGGAATCTCTTCTTCGTTGTTCATGTATATTGTCTTTGCTTCTATAATTTACCCTTCTACAAGATATTTAAAAAAATATAAATAATAAAAATAGTCTGCATGTGAATTTACCCTGTCGTCATATACGGTCTAAAATGCATGTCATCATCATCATCATCATTTTGTTCATCAGATTCTCTACTAAGATCTTTTTTTAATACAACTACCGGAGGTTGGTGGCTTGGCATTGCCGGACCTAACGTTACATTTGTTGTGCCTCTGTGAATACCTCTAGATTGTCTTAACGCTAAGATTAACCGTCTTGGTATAGACATAATTATCACAACCTCATCTACAGCTTTACGAGTGACGTCTACTAGATTTACAGCTAAAACTTCATCGCCTACCTGAATAACAATGTATAACAATTATTTTTAGCTATTATGTCAATCGAGTAAAAAAACTTACTTGAATGCATCCACTATTGTAAACTGCTGATTCTAACGCTAATCTAGAAATAAACAAGCCATCGTTGCGATTTATTCCATTCCCTTCTCTTATATATAAGCCTAGAGTTTGTCCGGGTCTCTTTATTATTTCAACAAGATTTACTATATGGTTAGTATCCTACAGTGATGTTTTAAAAGTATACATTAATATAGAGAATATTTTGAAAATAATTATACAAGTTTAATTTACTTGAAGCATAAGAAATTTTTTAGCTGCATCTGTAGCTGTTTTAGTAAGATGTATTCGAGGATCTAATATACGCACAACCATTTCACCTCTGCGTTGCACTGCATCAAGTGCTGCTGCTGTTGTAGCATCGTATTCATTTTCAATAGTGTCAATTAAACGGAAATCTTCTTTACTTATTCCGCTTAACTAAAAATATTTAAATAGTTTATTCTGATTTATATTGGTGAACAAATCAGGGTCTTACTTTTCGAAAATCACTTTGTAAGACTACTGGCAGTGCATCTTTAGTTTTAGTACCAACAGGAAGTGGTTGCTGGTGTTTCGATGTTGATGATAAATTTTGAGTTCGATCACGACCCTGAAATATGATTTAGTTTTATATTTTAAATTATTGATCATAATATTTAACTTATATATTTCATATTAACATTTTTTCAAAGAGGTTGTTAAAGATAAATAGCGTAATAATAATAAATAACAAAATAATAATTTAAATAATACAAAGATTTTGTTAATATTTTATTGATAATAACAAGAAACATTTAATTTAATATTTTGTTAACATTCTTGTATTTTCCATAAGTATCCTATTAATTATATATCATAATATAATACTTATCATAATATCCTATTATTTATATTCATTTCATACATTCTAAAAATGTATATATTTCTACTAACTTATTTTATTGTATAGGCAAATATTAAAAAGGAAGTGATGATTGGAAATGATTTCAAGGAAAATCAATAATATTTATATTTATTGCAAATTTAGGTAAAAAACTATCTAAAGAAGAAAAAGATGTAAAGTTTTATAATTAATATTTTATAAAAAAGAACATGTGATACAACTATCATTAGTTTTAGAGTCTTAAAATATTTATTGTCACCGACCTTTTTTGATATGAAGAAACATCCCGAGCTTGAATTTTTGTCACACATTTGTACTAAGTATTTAGTGTTACATTAAGATTACATTATTTAATTAATTGATATGTTTAATATATTTAATATTGATAAAACGTTAACATTTTAGGTTTCGCCCCATTGGGAGCACATACACGCCGTGGAAAATGATTTTTCCAGGACGCCCATTTACCAATGCTCGATATACGTTTTGACTACGCTTGCGTGGTTACTACCCTTTTGCCCGATACTTATTGTATGTACAATAATTATTGGACAAACATCTCGTCTTAGTATTATACATTCTCGCGTTTATTAAATGATATGTAATACCCTTAATTTCAAACTTAGTAATTTAATCAGAATATTATTTCAAGTACTTTTTTGCTTTGAAATCAACATTTTCAGTGTAGTACTTACTACAAGTAATCTTACAAAAGTGAAGTATGTAAAAATAATATGATTCACCGTACATTATCGTATGTATAATTGTCGTTCATTTATGGTACGATAATTGGGTCGATGAAAAAGAAAATAAGAGGCTTTCATTCAAAAGCTGCGCAATTTATCAATAAAAATCTACGAAATTTCCTTGCCTATTGTAATATTTCGGTTGGAACATTTTAGTGTACATTACCATTACTAATGGTACTTTCATTATCACTATTCTAAACTTAAAACAGTAGTCTGGAACAATAGTTGGCAGATTAGCAAGCTATCTCTATAGAAAGTTTTATAATTATTGTATAGTAATACTGGCTGAAATACAAATTAGTTTACCTTTATTGATTTGAATTTACGTTAAATATAATATTCTAAAAATAATTTTTTTTTCGATGAATATTTTTATTTTATATGTCATTGATAATTAAAAAATAATAACAAACAAATCATTATTTACTAATTTAAATTAAAAATTATTTAAGTTGTTTTAAAATACTCAACAACCTGAATCAAGTGTTTAAATTATCATAGAGAAATTTAAGTTTTGCCGCCTTTAAATATACATGTATATAACTTAAATACTACATCAGATATGACGACCTTGAAATCTCACATTCAAGCATAACCCTAAGTTGTCTTACTCTTATGTCAAATAAAGGAAAAACAAAATTTCACTGAATTTTTAACAACTAAAATTAAAATATCTAAAATATATTTTGTGTGCTCAGAAAAAATATTTAAATTTTTTAAAAGAACAACAACAAATATTAGTTTTTGGTCAAAATCCGTTCATATTACTATTTCATTATTTATTTATATTCATGAACATATAATTTAAGATCTTGTACTAGATTCAGATAAATTTATTCTTTTAATTTTTTTAAGACAATGGAAATTTGGTTGGATTGGAAACTGTAGAAGATTTGCAAATATTTTTAAAATAACAGTAAAAACAGTAATAAACTATAAAAAATAGTGTAAGAAAAATGGACAAAATTGTAAACATTTTCTACAATTTTATTAGTTTTTACAATTTGTTTAAAAATTCTCATTAGCTTTTCAGTATTTTAAAAATCAATTTTTTTTAAATCTAATTTATTTCTTTCCTCTTTAAAATATTTTTTGTATAACTGTCCAAATGTTTTTAAATATTAGTACAATTATTAATTTAATAATAATTGTAATTGCGATTGTATTTTAGAAGACTAAAAAAGAGTTGGAGGGATGTAATTGAATGCGATATGAGGATGGCTGATGTGGGAGATCGTGTCTAAGGGAAGTTTAGGATAATGATGGCCGATCCCAAATAGTTGTGATTAAGGCGAAAAAAAAGAAGAGTTACAATTATTAATTGTATAGATATTTTTAATTCAACCATACGCAATTACTGGAAAATAAAAGTTTAATTTTGTTTAATGTTTGTGGATTTAACATCTTCAAGTTTCGATTCATGATTGTAAAAAAATTACCATGCTAATAAAAATGGGTCACAAGTACACAAAATGTTACGATCAATATACCTTGACGCTCTCTATGGTTACCATGGTTTAAACGGATCTTATCATTTTGCATAACAAGTATTATCAAACATCTCAAGATCTCAACCTGTCGGTTGACTTATGACAGAATTCGTTATTTATGTTTAATTAATACTTTTCGAAATGAAATGTAGCAGTGTAGGACTTAAAATAAAGATTATGTACAATTTTCAAACACTTGTCTAAACTAATTGTGCGTTTTATAATTTTAAATAACCAGAGTACTCCTTGTGAATAAGGATTGAATTTTATTAGGTATGATTAATTTAGTAATCAATGCGTAGATTTATTTATATTGCAAATCGGAAATAAGTTATAATGCTCATATTTTCAATTCCAAAAAAAATTATTATATTTGCTTTGTATAAGATTTATGGTAATAATAAAAATTATTTTTTAAATATATTTATTTATCATATCTTTAGAAAATGCAATCTGCTTGTAGTCATGTCAGTCTTATACGAGATGGCTGTGGAGCTATATCATCTGCTCAAAATACAATGGAAACGGCACCAGTATTTACTGCAAAAACAACAAATACTCGAAAACCAATAATTCCTGAGCATGAAATAAAAAATTTTGATATTGTAAAAGCTACTCAGTATGGGTTATTAGATAGATGTATAGAACTTGTAGAGAATGGATTTGATGTTAATACACCAGATCCTCAAAATATACATTTGTTACATTGGGCTGCTATTAATAATAAAGTAGATGTGATCAAATATTATATATCTAAAGGAGCTAATGTAGATGCAATAGGAGGTGACTTACGAGCAACTCCTTTACATTGGGCAACGAGACAAGGACATTTAGCTACCGTTGTATTATTAATGAGTGAAGGAGCCAATCCCTGTTTTTTTGATATTGAAGGGCATACTTGTCTTCATGTTGCTGCACAATTTGGATTTACAGCAATTGTAGCTTACATGATTGCCAAAGGAGTTGATGTTAATCTAAGAGATAAAGACGGGATGACTGCTTTAATGTGGAGTTCATATAAATCATTAGGAGTGGATCCTACCAAACTTTTAATAACTCTTGGGGCATCCATGTCTATACAGGATGATGTTCATAGAAATACTCCACTTCATTGGGCTCTTAATAGTCGGAACCCAACTGCCATTAGTACTCTAGTCATGAGAGGGTCTCCTCTTACAATAAAAAATTCTGTTGGTTGTACAGCTTTACAAGTACTAAATGAATCAAGGTCAGAAATTTGGGTTGGTTTGAATACATTAAAAAAAATTGATGAGATACTAAAACCAAAAAATAGTTTATTGAAGTCTAATGAACAAACAATATCTATTGTTGTAGTAGTTGCTGTGTTTTATTTAATTGGTAGTATCTTAGACTCTCATATGTTATATGTAGTAAAAATATGTTGCATAATAGCAGGATATTTAATTATGTATAAATTAAATCAATCTTATTCAGTTGTATCAGAAACATTACCAGTATCGGTATATTTTGCCACTAAATTTTGGATGTATTTTACATGGATATTTTGGATTATGCCTGCTGTGGGTTTTTTAAGTTCTATATTTTTCTTCATTGTTACTTCTTTGCTTTGCTATAACTTTTTTTATAGCTGGAAAGGTAATCCAGGTTATGTACCAAATGATATAAACGATCAATATGCAGCAATTATAGAACTAGCTGAAAGTTCTGGATTCAGTTCAGATATATTTTGCAGTACATGTCTAATTAAAAAACCAATACGATCAAAACATTGTAGCGTGTGTAATAGGTAATTAATATTTATTTTGAATAATAACAAGTATAAAAAGTAAATTATTGGTAACCATTTTTACAGGTGTGTGGCCAAATTTGATCATCATTGTCCATGGGTAAACAACTGTATAGGAGTTAAAAATCATCAATACTTTATTGGTTATCTTTTGAGTTTGGTAACAGCCTGTGTGTTATTAATATATGGTTGCATAAGTTATTTAAAATTAGTCTTTTATTTTAATGATGAAGCAGATGAAGTTAATTTTTTAGTTGCTACTTGGGAAATGATTAAACTAGACTCATGGGTTGGGTGGGTCATGAATAATGCCATTTTGCATTCAGTTTGGGTAACGATATTGTTATGTTGTCAAATATATCAAATAATTTGGCTTGGTATGACAACAAATGAGCGTATAAATGCAGCTAGATATGAACACTTTGTTCAAGAAGGTAAGAGCTACTTAAGTCCATATCATCGTGGAAAGTTACTCAATTTTTTTGATTTTGTACAACTTCGATTCTTACGTAATAAATGTGTTGATAATAAAGTGTGGTTCAAATATTATGATTTCAATTTTTTTGTAGAAAAAGAACTAAAATTACATGTAAAATATAATTCTGAATATGTTTGAAATATAGACCTATGGATTATTAAGTAATTTAATTACAGTTACTTTAAGTCAATCCTATATTTTTATGTGATTTTGTTATAAGTGGCATTATAATTTAATTATAATGTATTACATATTTATGTATATGACATATTGTGTCCAGTGTATATACATTTTTTGTATACTCGTAGTGTATTTGAGATTTTAAGGAATACTATTCAAGAACTGACTGAAATTTAAATAACTTACTAACTTATTTTTCATTTATTTAATTATATTTATTTATGTAACTATTGTTAAGAGATTTGTTATCCTATAAAATATACTTAAACATTGATCAGGAATATTATTAAATATATTTGTATGCTTACTTAAATTTTTTTATTTATTTCATTTAAAATTAAAAAAATGCTAGCTTAATATTTCTTTAGAGCAATATCTAACTCGTGCAAAGGCATATTGTCCTTAATGTTTATGTTTATAAATAGTTATTATTATTAAATAGTATACGATACGTCGCATGTACGATGTTGGTTTATTTAATTGTGTAATAAAGATTTTGTCTTGTAAGGGAAATACTTAAAAAACATTTTAATTTACCCCTTCAAAATTGTTATTATTTTACACCGATATAGAAATGAATCTGCTAATTTTATATTTTATACATTTTTTATTTAAATTTATTGTGTTCGAAAAAATGTATATATATACAAATATATATATATTTGTATAATTAATTAGGAGAAATAAAGGAAAGATTATAGCATGAGTTACCATAAAAGTTAAAATTTTATAGTAAAATACAAAAAGCATTTATAGTTAAATAACAACTTTCTCTTAAAACTATCCTATCTTTAATTTGTCATTCATGAGTTTTTCCGATACCATTTATAAATATCGTACCTCAAAAAATATTCCATAAACAGTGTATTAATTAAGTCAATTTTACTTTAAGTTATCTTCAAAATAGTATACTTAATTAAAAGCATACTTCAGCATCTATTATCTATTCATAATTTATCTCTTAATTTGAAGTTGTGTAAGACAAAACTGTTAAAAAGTCAGGCCGTATTAATTTTTGTTAATGTATAATTCATTGTTTTTAGCATTGATTATGATAATATAAATTTATACCTATTTATAGAAATTAATTCTCAAATCTGTTTTCTAAAGATTAAATACATCTTCAAACATTTTTATTCTTAAGGTTTTAAAAAAATAATAATTTTTAAAATAGTAATCCACATTAATCTACCTTTTATACTGTAAAATATTTTTAGATTAGGTGTATGAATTGATTTTATTAAGGAAATCGTATATTTTAACTATTAATATAGTTATAAACTACATACTTAACAAAAAAAGTTCTTAATATTTATCTAAAATAAAAAATTATCGTGTTTTACATTCCGAGTTCAATAGAACATAATTTAAATAAAGGAGAGCTGAATGAAGATTTTTTTTCTCGAAAAGTTTATGAGGTGGCTTATTTAATCAATTAGTAATATTAAGTTTAAATAATTCAAGATTTTTGGTCGAAGACTGATGAAAGCAATGACAATAATGAAACAATTTTTGGTAAATTATTGCTCTGCTTATGTTATGATTTACACTACACCAGAGTCGGGATATTTTTCACATACGATAAAAAATAGATTTGCATTTTCCTTTTTGTATCTCTTATGGAAATTATAGCTAATATGTTTCTTAAACTTGTTTTTTTCGAATTTTCATGCAAAGTAATGTCAGCTGCTATCTTTGGCGAAATGTGTGTAATGCTAGCTTATAATATATATGTATAACGTCATTTTAAAAGGTTTCGAATCTAGATCGATAAGGTTAAGAGAGCATTGAAGGATAAAGATAGAGATTGCAGAGAGTAATAAAAAACTGTAGGTACACTAAATTTTGTTACTGTCTTGAAGTTTGAAAAATGAAACTTGTATATAAACTCTATTTGAATGCGGTGAATATTTAAGTGTAGGTCGAGATAGTTTCATAAAAAATGCACTTTACAACTCTCACTATATTATAATTTTAAGTTTTTATCTGTATTTTTGGCAAATAAAGAACACTTGTTTTTTTTTTTTTAAGAAAACGTACAGTATTCTTTTTCGCAGTTTCATTATTGTTTATACATAATAATGATAGTTTGATAATTAAAAACAATTGAAATAATAATATGTAAATAAATAACACATCAATTATTCGATAGACTTTTACATTTTAAAATTAAAATGTTTAAACAGTTAAAAACTTTTTAATGGTTATGTATGCTGCCTATATGGGTTAAAGTTATTTCGAAATATAAACTTAATAATGTTTTTATATTCTTTATAAATATTCATGCTGTAAAAATGATGAAATAGGAAAAAGTTGACCCAGCTGTTTTTTTATATTTTATAATATTGAGGGATTATGTGTAAGTATGAAAAAAAATAGTTCCATTAGTTGTTTACTTTTTTTATCGATTTTCTCATATCAGGGGTCTGTACTATTTCAAATGTATAAAATAACTTTTCTCATGAGCAATTATTAAGATAAATAAAACTTGGGCGATCTTACATACTCAAGTAAATTAATCAAATTAAGATATTTTCTAAATTTTATAATTCTATACAAACATTCATTTGAAAAATGATTGATTTTATACATATAGTTATAATGCATTTATAAAAAATTTTGTATTAATTAAATTATGTGTACCTTTTGTATTGATAAAAAATAAAAAAAAATTTTTAGTCTCTTTTTACAGTAAAAATTATTTTTTTTTACAAAAAATATATTCATTAATTTTTTATGTAGTAAAGAATATACATATTTTAACATTATTTATTATAGTCAATACATATATTCATTTGAAAATTTAAATTGTAATTTATTACATAGTTAAATTTATCATGAGTTATGTCAATTACAATAATAGTTTTAAAACGATAAAAATTCTCTAGGGTCTTAATCAATCAAAAAGTGTTCATTAAATTTTTTTGATTTCAATAATCTCAAGTTAGAACTGAATTAGTTAATGGTACAAGAATACGAGATTATGTACTATACTTAGTATATGAGGTATAAATAATATTTTATGACCACCAAAATTGTATCTTTGGTGAGTAGAAAACAAAATAGTTTTTAGGAAAAAACTTTTTTTTTTTATTTATAGTACGTAACATAAGCTTTAATTTAACATAGTTTAAAGAACGCAGTATTTCCGGAACATTTTAAAGGTTAAGTTGAAAAAGTTGACTTTTGTAAAAAAGCTCTTGATTTGAATCCCCTCCTGTGGGTTGGTAAAGAATCAGAATTTCAAATAAATGATATAAAATAAAAGGGTCGTACCTAAGGTTTTTATATAAAAAAAATTATTTTGATTTGTTAATTTTTGAATAAGTTATGACAGTTAAAAAAAAAAAATGTAAAAATTTACCGATTTTAAAAATGGTAATTTTCTTTAAGGATTTGCCTCATTTACAGAGAACAAGGGAAATTTTTTCAATTTTTAAGGCCAATGTCTTCAACTAGATACGATTTGTGATATCTTATTTATGTGGTATACTTAGTTAAGTTGCACTGTTGTGTAAAAGGTCAGATTTTCAAATTATATTAAATAAAAGGAAAATCCCTAAGGTTTCTACATAACAAAAAATTATTTTTCAAAAATTTTTGACAGATAAGAAAAAAAAATTGAAATTTACCAATTTTAAAAATTGTAATTTTTGGGGGATTTCCACCATTTACGGAGAACGAGGGTAATGTGTTTAACTAGTAACGATTTGTGATCATTTGACTTATCGTTGAAAAAAATCGGCCCAGTGAGAGCTGAGAAAAAGTAGTGACAAACACAAAAAATAAAAATTATACACATGGTAAAATTAATACCTTCTCAGCTTTTCATTGAAACTAAAATGTTATGAAATATTTTGGATTAATCTACTTATAAAATAATTATTATTTTCGAACACTGCATTGATAGCGAAAGTCGATCATTTTTTATACTTAAATGATTGATTATTACATTTAATGGCCTAATAATTCTGAATATTGCTTATTAAATATAAGGAAATCATACCTTTTCAACCCATTTTATTCTTTTGATAAAAATGTAATTTATAATTCACTTTTTAAGTTTTCTGAATATTACCTACAGTTTTTATTAAAATGTTAAATGTCACCTGTTACCATTTATATGATGAACAGGTGAAGCCATTGACATAGCAATTTATTTTAACTGTTAAAATCATAATTATGATTTTATTTTAGATTTTGATAAGGTATGAATTAAGAGTTGAATTTTAATATTTGAACGTCAATAAATTTTTATAATAATATTTACTATTAGTCATATTTAAACATAGGTTTAAATTTAGAGTAATGATACTCATTAGGATATCATTATAATATGTATATAATCATTGGCTTATTAAATTGAAATAAGATAAAAAAAATTCTTACCTTTTTTTTAGTGCAACAAAGCATAGTCGGCGATCGGAATACTTTTGAGACTATACTAGACGTTACCATTTTGTCAACATCTCTCGATAAGACACGTCTAGTATTTGTTTTCGAAAGATATATTTTTTTTTTAAAACTGAAACTTTCCTGCTTCTATTTATCATGTTGATATATCATACATATGTGATTTTTTTGCTATAAATAATGTATAGTTTTATTGTAGTAACGGATAAATTTTTTATGAATGTTACATAAAAATTAACAGTCAATTAAATTTTTCGCTGAAATTTTGATAAAAACATGCGTGTTGTTTATGGAGACGTGAGCACAATAATTATGGTCAGCTTGGCATACTGACTAGTCTTGGGGTGAATAAAAAGCGCTGGCGCGCTGCCGGGTACCGATCGATAAACTTACTAGACCACTTTGCACCCTTCATTCAAATATTACCAAAAAGGGGAGAAGGAAACCCATCTAGTAGTAGCGTATTGAACCCGGTGCATGATTATTCCACGTGGTCACTACTATAATACGACGTCTTTTGTACCCTACCCGACACCCTACCGCTAATTTTCAACGTAACAAGTTATCTATATTTATTGCTAGTCATCGTTTTCCGCCTCCATTAATCGTTACAAAAAAAATTAAAACTTAGCATTATAGTATACCCTGTCATATATTTGGCTTCTTGGGAAAAAAATAGTTTTTATAAACGTTTTTAAACATTATATAATGACAATTTATTACAAAACAAGATTTTGCATCGTTTTCATTCTTATGTAATTTTGTATTGTTATTTAATATTTTTATTTAAAAAAATGCATTAATTGTATTCAGTCAACTATAAAGTATAATATAAATAAAATTGCACTGCGTTTCAACGATTAGCATGCGAATAACGACAATATAAATGTTTTTGCATATATTGTTGTTCCGTGTACATGAGACAAGTAGACATTATCGCCACAATTGGACCATCTGTAAAAAAATAACTTATTTACATATTATTAAAAAAACCTATTTGTAATGTTTAAATTTCATACACATTCCCTTCCGTATCATATACTGTTAAACGGTCTACAAACACTGTGACGTTTGTAGAGCCCGGTCCGATGGTTTCTGCCTGATAAGCCAAAGATTGAAAACTTAACTCTACGTTTAATTGTTGGGGAGCTGGCTTTTCGTACCTGCACACGGAAAGACCTTCGGCTAACAAACCGCCAGAGATCTGATCAGAAATCCTGTTAATTATTAGATGAAAAAAAAATTAAAATTTTGATTAGAATTTTGTCTTTATAAATAAATGTATGTGTTATTACTCGGTTTTTAATTTAAAGTTTGCTGTACTGTTATGACCGTCAGCCAATGCCATTTGTAAGTATCCCCAAAGTTTTGGGGTTTTCGGTGATAAAAATACCGATGCTTTCAGTTGTCGTCCTGTTTAAAGATTCTTAAAATGTAATTAAAATGTATAAAATATATTGTAAGGTATTATTTACCACAAAATGGACTCGAATCTCTAGTTGTCAAATATAATGGTCCACGGAGTTTAGATTGAGATGCTGCAAAACCCATTGTTACACAATTGGAATCTAAATAATACAATATAATGAACGAAGTATAAAATAATACAAGTTATAATCATTTCATTTGGTTTATTTTACTGATAACATATTTGTTTTTTTCCTGAGTTATACATAAGTAATTTGATCACAAAATAGTTATAAATACAAAATTAGTCAATAAATATTGGACAGTTCTACTTTAATCTATAAGATCTTAACTTCTTTTAGCTTCTGCTTATTGTTTAAATAGTACGTTTTAAATATTTATTATGTTTAACCTGTGACGTAACCAGAATTTCATAAGGGCCATAATAAAAAAATCTAGAAAATTCTATATTTTGGATCTTTTGTTTTTGCTCATCACTTTATTTTAAAAATAAATATTGTTGTTAATGTGAGGGAGGGCATGACCCTTCTAACTATGCTACTGTGTTTAACTTTCTATTGTAACAGTAAAATGACAATGGTTAGCACTGAAAGTTAAACAAATGATATACAACATTTAGATATATTGTAATATAACCGTAATACTTTAAAAAAAAAAAATACACAATAATACTAGGTTATAGTTTTATGACAAAAACTAGTTTTTAAAGTGTATAGCATTAATATAAAGCTTTGAAAAATACAATATTACCTGTGCAATTAGTGGGAAAGCAAGAACCCTTTTGGAAGACAGACCAACCAGCAGGACATGGAAATGCAGTAAATTGGCATGCATTTGGGTCGGTCAATGATTTTAGGCTTTCCAGAAAGAATTGCAATGCTCTTAAATGATTACATACAACACTCGAATTCATTGTACCCTCTAAATGTAAACATAAATATAATTATTATTTAAGTAATGTTATTTATGAAGATTCGGAAAAATATTCTTTAATAATAGCCAAAATATGATGCTAATATTCTCTCATAAAGTTGAAAATAATCTTATATTAAAAAATATTTTCTTAAATTCAAAACATACTTCTAGAAACATAATAAAAAACGTGAATAAGATACTAAATTCAATTTTGTTTTTATTTCAAGGAGTAAAAAAGTTGGTTCTATCTAGACATACACCCAAAGAAAAACCTCAATCAAAATTGAAAGAGAAATTTTATCAAGGGTTTATGATAATGTTTTATTAATACGAACAAAATAACTATTCTTATAAATAATTATTGTTCAAGACAAGAAAAAAAAATATCATATTGATAAATATATCATTGATTCAATAGTAATGATATATTTATCAAATTGAACAATGAATTTATTATATAGATCGAGGTTTTTCTCTGGGTGTACAGTGTAATCCAAATATGGTAAGACATTCATTTTTTTAGAAACTATTGAGAAAATTTCATTTTTACAAATAGAAAAAAAATTAGGTTAACAGAACTACAGTAATACATAATTCATTTTTTTTCATTCTTTCAGGGTTAAAAAATCTAATTTTCTTGGATGAGAACCCTTATTTTTAATTCTATAATATGATAAAAAAAAATAAAAGATTACAAACAATTTTCTTTATTCTATAAGTCGTTTATTTGTTACAGTATTTTAAATACACAAGATTAGATTAGAAGTAATGCACATACACCAGTTAAGCTGTATCCCAGAAGGGGTAAAAGAAATTTCATCATGTATTATTATAGTATTTTTAACCTAATATTTTTTCTCATTATATAAATGTAAAATTCTCAAAAGTGTCTGAGAAAACGAGTATCTTGCCAAAATAGTATTACCTGTAAGTTTGAATAAAATAAAATAAACTTGAAATAATTGTTAAAAATTATTTGGTATAAATGACTTTATTTTTAAAGAAAATTCGTACTGCGTAATAATTTATTAATCAAAAACATTGAAATTCTTACAAATTAATCAATATACTCTCTTATATGGTTTTTTTATGTAAAATATTAATTTACAATAAAATATTCTCAAATATATAAGTTTTTTTTTTAATTAAACGCTTAAGAATTCGTCAAGATTTCAAACTCTCGTTTTTTTTTTGCGAGAATCCCAAAAGTATGAAAAAGAATAAAATTCCTACCTCTAGTTATTTATAAATCCATAATGTCATAACAGCACATTATAGTAATGAGAGAAATAATCAATTTATTTGTCATTCCGTGCGAATTGTTCAATTTAAATACTGACCTAACCGGCTCACGATTAGCGATCCTCTAACTTGCTCACATCCGGGTTGATCAAGTCCACCGTTGGGGAAGTAATCTACGTCGCCTATTGGATTAAATAAACCTAACCCTTCGGACCACACCTTTGCACCATCGGTGTGCACGACATCAACGAATGTGGCGTCATTGGAACTAAGCGATGACAACGAAGAAGATAGCAGCTCTCTAAACAGCGGAGAAGCTGGATCTAGACCTAAATTGAACATTGTTGATGGCACAGTAAAATAAAACTTCATACCTTTACATAGTTATATGTTTATAGTAATTCTACCTGTTATTCTACCGATGGTGATACCGTCTTGTTTCAGAGATTTACCGGCGAAACCAGCTGCGTGGGCCCCGAGGCTGAAACCAATAATGTGCATGCGTTCTGGATCACTGTTCATAGTCACCATATCTGTTATTAGTAGAGCCAATTGGCGCCCAATTAGCTGGGTATTAGCGGCTGCCAACACGTATGACGGACCACGTGCACCTTTTTCCCAATCTACCAATATCAAATTTGATTCTTGCTACATGTGTGTGAAATTAATAATTAGTAATTATACAATAGTGATATAAAAAGTTCAATATTAAATCAACTATCATGTTTGGAATTACCAAGTCTAGCAGCGCGTTTGCTAAAAGTAAAGCCACTTTATCCCGCCCAGTGCCCTTGTAACCATGTATTATAATTTTAGTCGGCAATTCTGGTCTGAAATTCGAATTCTTCAAAGAACTATGGTTATCTCCGTATGTTACAAATGAGTAATTCGTGCGGTTCTGTCGGGTTATAAGTAAAAATTTGGTGTTTACAGCATCCGGGGGCTGCGGCGACTTTACAATCGGTGAATGTGCTGATCGTGGTACGGGGAAACATCCAACAGCGTCTAAAAAACAACAAGCGTAAAGAAACGAGAATAAAACCGTAAAAACATTGCGCTTTAAGTATGATGGTCACGTCTTCATTGTTTGCACCGGATGAATAATAAAATATCTTGAATTTTAAACCGGTAAATTATGTCGTTCTTTGAAAGTTAAGTGGTTATTGGACGTTATACGAAATCCGCACAAGAACTTTTACAAAAATGTTGACAATATACTACTAACGACGAAAAATAGATGTTACCGATTTTACAATTATTCAATACATTGTCCTTACCGTAACATATCTGCTTGGTGGGTCTTGATTTTATTCGCTCTTGCCGTCTAGATAAATGGTCTCTGACCAACTGCATCACCCGCTTGCCCAGTACATTTGACGGCCAAAACTGGCGGTCGTTGACTAGAACATTTTCACATTTTCAATAATATTTATTTATTCGCATTTCGTTTTAGTATTACCTTCCGAATCAGCAACTGTCGAACTGAAATGGCCCAGAATCGCACAAGCCACAACAACTGTAATGACAGCTGCATTCTTATTTTGTACTCTCATGTTGCGTCTTGCGTTATGTGTATGAACACCAGAATCTCACATGACTGCGTTTAAACAACACTGATAAAATTATATCGCTAAGAGGACTCAAACTTATATAATACTACAACAGTGTAAGCCATTATATTATTATTGTTGTTCCTAGATTTTATAGGTATGAGTTTATCTTACTTTCACTCTGAACATTTGAAGGTAAACTGTGTAAGAGGCTAATACATAAATGTATTTACATGCTGTCAATACTTATTATAATTATTATTCAATTATGAATAATTAATCGATTTAACCAGTGCATATTGTTAGATAAATGATGTTACATGTTGCTCGTCTCCATAGTCTTTTATAAAGTATTGGTAAAAATATTTTTTAATTAAAACACAGTAACTCAAATTTTGTAGTTAACATAAAAATATACCAAGCGTGCTAAATATTTTTATTATTTTTGTATCAATATATAAAACTAATTTAATAATTTCACTAAACAAATGATTTGTCAAAAATGACAAAAAGAAATCCAGAATGAATCCTTGCAAATCACATTACCATTAAGCTTGACTGATTTAGGATGAATGAATTGTCAGTAGATTTAGTAATACAAAGTCATAAAAATAAATAAACGGAGTCTACATTTTTTATTGTCTTAGGACTTTCATTAAATATTCCTTTACTATTGCAAATTAAGATTATCAAAATACACTATTGCGTGTAGAACATTCTAATAAATTTATTCGGTTTCGAATTATACTTTAATATGTATAAAGGCTTTTATGATCAATCATGGTCAGGTTAGTGTAGGTTTAAGTATGTGCAGTGTAAATACTTAAACCTTAAAAACTTAAACATAGTAGGATGTATGCTGAAGGACTTTTTTTCAATGTAACATAATTACTTTTATAAATGGTTTTGTCTTTTCTATTTTTTTTTATGGTAATATATAAAAAGTATTACTGTAATATACATAATTTACTTGAAATTACTACGATGGTGCTAATATTGATTTCGTCATTGTTTGAATCAACTGTTTTTACTAAAATAATTAAAAGTAATTTGAAACAAATGGTTAAAACAATATATTATTTTTATTATTATATAACAATCAAAATTGATCATTAATATGATCATCAAAATAAATAAAAAAACGAAATTTTCATGCTATTTAAAAAAAAAACTTTTCAATCACGCTACTGAATTTAATATTTTATGAATACAAAAGTTACAAAAAATAATATAAATATGTTAAAACTTCTTAGCTTTGCATCGAAGCTAAAATAGTTTTGTATCTTACTAGGATGGAAAATTTGATAGGACTTATCTTTATATTTAGTCAAATGTTTTCAGTAAGACTGAAATTTTTTTATTCGTTCAATGGTAAAAAATGATAACTTGAAAAATGCTTTATAGTTAATTGATCATCATAAATGTTAAATTCTATATTAATAGAATGTTTTTAATATCCTAAGTATCGAAATAACTATCTATTCTGTTATAACCAGTGTTCCTTTATCAATTCTATAAGTTAAATGGTGAGGTGCCAAACTATAAGAAAATGGAAACCCGGAAAAAAAATTGTTTTGCTGATGTTACATTAATTAAAAATTAGTTTGAAAAATCTGTATCATAATTCTATAACATATTTTTAATGTAATTATTTACGTACTTTTTCTTTCGCAGTATCAAAATTTTGTTAGTTCGTACTCTAAAAATATACGTCGACATCTATAATTTCGTGTAGTTGCATATTTTAAAAATTGATTTTAGTGTGACATTTTTTTTCACTTGGTTTAATTAAAATTCATCTATAAAGCTGCTATTAACATAATTTAAAAGTACTATTTATTTGTTAAGTAAAAAAATATATACATTAGACTGCGTTCTTCAAAAATGGTATTTTATAATTTTATAACAGATGAAAGAATATAGTCGTTGAGAAGAAGTAATACTAGGAACTTAAATTCAATATTTTAAATCGACTAAATAAGGATAAGCAAAGTGTCGCATATGTTGCTTTTAACGTAGGAGTAAAAATGTTTAAGAAACAAATGCATAATTGAATGACTAATTTTTTTCATTAAGTATAATTGATGTTAAAAAATCTTTAGCGCGGTTACAATAAAAAATAAATAAAAATTGTATGCGGGTATTTATTGAGCATCTGCGTAATATAGTTGGAAACTAAATTATTAATTAATATCTAAGATTAGGTTAGTATAAATTAATCTAATTTGTGTTCAATTTATTGTTGAATATTTTGATAATATTTAGTTCATACATTATTTGAAATATTGAAAGAGTAATAACAATTTAAGGAGTACTTAACTATTTGTTAATTGTATAGAGTAAATCGATTTATCAATGAATATTGACTCGGTCAATGAGAAATTAATGATAATAAAAAATCGAATCGANGGGGGTCAATGAGAAATTAATGATAATAAAAAATCGAATCGAAGACAAGCATCATTATCTTTTAGTGATGATAATCAAGTGAAGTTTTCAAGGTTATTTGATACTCCAGCGTATATCAGTTGTAAAATATAATTGATATCATTCGTGAGTTAAACGATCTTTTTATATTTATTTTGCTTAAAGTGTCAATTGGTTCCTTAAAAGTTTTGTTTTTTTTTTTTTTTAAGAATAAATTATAGTTTCTATTTAAACGTAATTAGCAAAGCAACTTTAAAATGTTTATCAGAATTACTTTGTCACTTAATTATTTTAGTTTTAAAAAATGATGGAAGATCAAAATTCAGCTGTATTGGAAGTATCAGTTGAAGAAAAAGGCGTATCTTCAATGTCTCCAACTGCTCTGAATGATACACCTATTGTATGATTGACTTAAAGTTAATGTTTGACAAAAACATATTAATTTATATGACACTGAATTTTAGATAAATTATCCATCATTTACAAATGACTCATTCCATAAATTAGAACTTAAACATGATATTCAAGTAAGAGTTGAGAATCCTCAGAAAATAGTTGAACCACTAGAAACATACATAACCTATAGAGTTACTACTAAGGTAAATGTTGAAATAATTTTATTTACGATTATATAGCTGACCTCCTTTTTGTAGGTGGATCATCCAGATTATCAAGATAAAGAATATGTAATTCGACGAAGGTATAATGATTTTATATGGTTGAGACAAAATATGACTGTTGAATATCAAGATCGTATTATTCCCGTAATAAAAATTTCATTTGTTTAGTATGATTGCTTTGAAATTAAAATTTTATATTTGATTACAGCCATTACCTGCTAAACATACTATACTTGGTCAATTAGATCGATATTCAAAAGAATTTGTTTCATGTCGTATGAATTTATTGGAACGTTTTTTGGCCCGATTAGTGTGCCATCCCATTTTTTCTGAAGATCGACATTTACGTGTTTTTTTAACAGCTAATGCAACAGTATACATATAATATTTTTAATTTATTGTACATATTAGTTTTTATATTTTTAATTTTTAGGAGTTTACAGCTTATAAAAAACGTGGTTCAAGTTTGTTAAGGCGTATGTCAAACAGTTTAAATACTATAGCGAATTCATACAGTTCAAGACAAATAGATTATGAATTTGATCCTATTAGAAATCATTTACAAGGTTTATCTGAAAAATTAACAATGCTGGAAAAAGTAGCTCAGAGAATTCATAAAGAAAGAAAAGGTATGATAATAATGATTATATTTAAAATTTAATATAAATATAGCTGATGTTAAAATATTAATCAAACAATATCTCTGCTAAAATTGTATAAATGTTGTAGAAGTTATTAGAAAAAAAATGATAGCTGTATACACCTCCTAGGTCATGTCTTTTTTACATATTATATTAAAAGTTTATAAATTATAAATTTGGTCATAATAATTTCACCAAAATTGATTAATATAATAAATTTTTTGTATTTTAACTATATAAATTATTTAAAATATTGCGGAACAGTTGCGTGTTCTTCAAAATTTTTGTTTGTTTATCTTTTAAGTTTTTCCATTACAAGTCATTTTATTAGTATCATTAGTGTCATAGATGATGCTACGACAAGGCTAACTAATATTTTTACTATAACTTTTGTTGTACATTTAAAATCGTAGCTAATTCATTTTTACTGAAAAAAGTTTATGTGTAATAAAATACTAAAAAAAAAAATCAGTATTCTTATAAGAATAGATTATATTTTGTTATTTATACAAACTAAAATATTTTTTGTTAATATTTTAGAATTATGTGTGGAGTCTCATCAATTAGGGGCAGCATTTATTGAATGGTCTTCCAATGAACAGAGTATATCAGTAGCATTATCTCGTATTGGCCATACAATCACTGCTAATAGTTCTGCTCTGCGTCAAAATTTAATAAATAATTTTCAAAATGACTGGGCACAAGTAAAATTCATTGAGATAACAATTTATAATTGAGTATATTTATATACTTTTATTACTTTAGCCACTTAAAGACTATGTAAACTACATAGAATGTGTTCGAGAAACACTCACCAAAAGAGATGCTTTACAATTGCAGTATGAGCAATCAGTTCTGGAGTTAGAAAAAAAAAAGGCTGATAAAGATAAAGTATGCAATGTAAAAATATACATTTCTATTATACAATTTTTATGGGATTGATTTCCATGATAATAATTTTTAATTAAAGGTTGCCAGTGATGAAAAGTCACTAATGTCTTTTTGGACTAAGTCAGAGACAAATAAGGAAGAAAAAATAGAGAAGATTACTCAGATTATTCCAAAATTAGTGTCAATTTCTGAAGCTCATAAAGAGCAATTGGATGCTAGTAGCAATGTATTTAAGGAAGAATATGCGTTTTGGAAAAATCAAAAAAAAGCAGACTTCAAAAAAATGTTAACTACTTTGGCTGAAAGCCATATACAGTATTATCAACACGTAAGCATTTCCTTTGAAAATATTTTCTTTAATAATTGTTTTATAATTTTTTTAGTGTACAACATCATGGGACTTGGTGTTCAAAAGAATGTCATCAGAATAAAACTATGAGCTTAAATTTTTCAGTACTCAATTCATAAGTTAACAAGTTATATTTTCTTATATTGTGATAAATTTGATTGGGTAGGTTCACATAAAGATTTATATCTATCAAACATATCCTTTAAGAATAAGGCAGTTATTTATGTGTGATTATATATTTATACACATTATTGTTTTTATGATATTACTCATGTTTTATGTCATCATTCCATTTTTCTTTTGTTATTTTATGAAACTAATTTATCATTGTTTGTTTATCATGGAATATGATTGTTTATTAAATCGTTATATTTAAAATGAAACATTGTTTTTCAATAAAAAAAATTTATTTTGCATTATTTATAACCAGTGAATTTAAGTGCATTTTGTAACAAATGATGATAATCTCTGGTAGAAATTATAAATAGGTATGTTCTAATAGTAAAACAGTAAAAAACTTATTATTAAATACAGTAGGAAATTGACAAAAATATTTGTCACTAAAAAAAATAATTTTTTTAACAATGAGATTACAATTATATTATAAGTTAAAAAAAAAAAATCACAGTTTTTAATTTATGGTGTAAAAGGTGGTCAAATACACATATTTTTAGGCATAGTCTGAAGAGTAAATAAGTAAAAATAGTTATTATATAAAAGGTAAATAAAAATGATTAAATAGAGTACTAGTTATACTTTATTAAATATATTTATGTTGGTGTCGATGCCGAGAACAAAATATTTTTGCTACTATGACCAAATGAAGTAATGCTGGACATATCTTTAAGACTCATTGTTAAGGTCTGATAACCAGATTCCGAACTATTTTCCATTGTTAAACTAATTTTATTAGTTCGACGTCTTTTAGGCATTGATAATGTTGAAACTGGTGTCATAAAAACAAAATCACCACCTAAGAAATAAATTAAAAATAGAGACACCATTTTATTTTTATTAATAGTATCTATTACTACATCCATATTAAATTACTTTTTAAAATAAATATTTAATTTGAAGTGGGAGATATAAATAATTTAAATGAGTTTATTAAATAAATACCACATTAATGTGTTGAAAGAAGCAATTTAAAATAATAGAAGTTCAAATTAAATAATAAAAAAAAGAAAAGGTACAGTAATGTCTAATGAGAGAAACCACTGGATTTTTATTTTTACACTTAAAATGATAACATTGCAAAAATCATAGTAAGTAAAGTTTGCTTGAAACTATATTACTTTTATCTTTAGGCGGAGTATTTTCTTTGTCATTAGAAATTATTATTGGTGAAACATCTATAGGTACATGACAGTCTAATGGCAGTTCTTGGACACCAAGGTGATTGCCAATTACAGGACCTCTTGTTTCAGTAGAGTTAACAAAACAACTGATTAAAGGGCTATTTGGTTGATTTCTTTTCCTATTGAAGTTAAAAAGCCTTTAAAATTTTGTTAATTTTAATATAATAATTAAATTACATTTCTACTGGAGAAATAGGGTCATCATTGTCATTTAGGAAAAATAATTTTCGCCTTAGTGTCGATGTGTCTTTATTAAAACTTGCTTCAGAGTCTTTGTTTTGAGTCTACATAACATGTATCACAATTAGTTAAATTTATATGCTTAAAAATATTAAAATCTTACCGAATTTAAAAAGTAAGGCTTTAGTATTTGTTCAATGTGATCAGGTAAAATTGAAGGAAAACTAAGATCAGTTTGAGTAGAAACTAAAACATAATTTAGTGTTCTGATTAATCACACTAAAAATAGATATAATAAATGATAGATATTATTCACAAAGAAAAATTTTTCTTAAACCATATATTATAATACTATTAGTACACTACAGAACCAGTAATTTACACTGAATATAAATAAAATAATATGAGAAGTAAACATCCACATATTGATTAATGAAGTTACAGAATAAGACAGTATAGTTTTGAGATGAACTTGTGAAAAATTTTAGTTGCTATAAATTAAATGTTAAAGATATATAAGCATACATGTAATACGAGAATTATAGGAAATGTATTATGTACAATTAAATGCTATTAATATAATACTTAGCATATTAATATTATTTTATTTTTCTAATCAATAGAAATTCTATATATTCAGATTATGTGTAAAGAATATATGAAATAGTATAATTACTTGTAAAAATATAAGATTTGTAATTTATAACAGGTGAATAAGAAATTATTTTTTAATTTATGTGTTTTATTAAACAACTTTACCCAAATAATATTACTAATCAAATAGCAGAAGAATTAATTATTTAAAGGGGTTAAAATAATGTATGTGCAATAATATACAAATTATAATAATAGGTGATTTAATCATTAGACTGTATTATTTTAGATTGTTAAGATATTTTTAAAATTACTTTCACGTGAACGTGTTAATTCAGTTTTCTTGGTTGACATAGGTGTAGATGATGAATTGTCTCGTTTAGATTCCCAGTTGATAATTTCATTGTTCCATGGGCTAGGAATTTTATGTTTCATATAAAAATATCTAAAAATTATTTTTATAAATAATAAATATAATTTTACACATTATGAAACACAATTACTTGTCAATAGTTTCTTGTAGTTTCGATTCGGTTTCATCATCAATTTGTTCCTCTACCATGCATTCATCTTCAATATGAACAGGATTCAGTTTGGATACATCATCAATATTCCATTTAAATTCATTTTCTTGGCCAGGACTAATAGCTTTAGCAAATACATTAGGGCTGATTGTTGTTTCACCCAGTCGCTGCATTAGATTTTCATTGAAAGGATTATATACTTTTGGTTTACATATATGATTTATTTCATATTGAGAACGTAATAATTCAGTAGACATACTCCAATGACGGTTAGGTTTACGAGGGGTAGGTGTACGATTTACGTGTAGTATTTTTCTAATAGATGTTTCATTTTTGTCCGAGTTGAAGGACACGTCCATATATTCTACTTCTTCGCAAATGGCCATATTATAATACAGAGAAATATCTAAAATGTAACAAATAATTAAAAAAATGATTTAAGTTCTAAAAATCAGTCTTAATAATGACACAATAAAAAAAATTATTCTAAAACATTTTGCTATTAAATAAAATATAAAATTGGGTATTTACAGATCACAATTGATTTAAAACTATTTAACGGTTATTCAGGGAGATTATAAATGAAAATATAAGATTTTTATATTTATTATATTTTATATACTCTTTGGAATGTTTTTCATAAACTCACAGTTCCACTTCTCTTATCTTTATTGTAGTACCTACGAGTGTATACATTTTGTAGGTTAACTCGTCCATTTGACTGACGAGAGTGTTGTTTTCATTTTGGGTATTGGGATTTCATCCTAAGAAAAATGGTAAGTGATTTCTAAATTTTATCCGAAATTATTTAATTAATCCTTTTTAATTAATGTAAATTGATTATTTAGCTGATTTTTTTATTAACTGATCGTTATACACAAAAAAGATTTATTTATTTTCTTAACTTGGTAATTGATTTTATTTTTTTTTAGACGAAAGGTACGTCAAGTTTTGGTAAGCGACATAACAAGACTCACACATTGTGTCGTCGTTGTGGTAGGTCGTCTTACCACATTCAGAAGTCTAAGTGCGCTCAATGCGGATATCCAAGCAAAAAATTGCGTCATTGTATGTAGAAAATTCGATTTAAATATCTCTTTACCGATGTTGATATGTTTTTTTTTTATAGACAACTGGAGTGTTAAAGCTCAACGTAGGAAGACTACCGGAACTGGTCGTTTGAGGCATTTGAAAATTGTTCGTCGTAAATTTAGGTAAATAATTTATCTATGTAATATTTTTATAGTGCTTATTAAATTTTATTTTGAGAAACTTTTTCAGTCTGTAAATAAATAACTCTCTAATATTTTAATCTTAAGTTTTATAATGGAAAATTATGATTATAATTTTGTTGTTAAAAATAATTGAAGTCTATGTTATAAAAAACATCACTTGTTGCTAATTTAACAAGTGGCACAATTCAATTGATAGTATTATATTATGATGATGATAAATAATATACGCTAATACGACTTATTAAAATGGGTACTCCTTGCCCTCTCTGAATATAATATTATCATATTAGATTTTCATTATTTTAAGTATGCTTTGATGTTAATTAAATTAATATACGCTAATACGACTGTATTTAAAATGGGTATTACTTGCCCTCTCTGAGCATATCTTTAAGATTTATTCATTCCAAAGTGCTATAAATGTATCTTATTTCATTGAATTCTTCTTATAAAGTGAAGCTATATAAAAAAATCAAATACTTGAAATGATAATAATTGAAACTCAAAGGCAGACTTTCATTAAAATTAATTTTTTTAATAAAGTTTTATAAAAAATCTCTAAAAAATATATTTAATATAATTATTATTATATTTAATGTAATTAAGTAATCAAATTTTTTTTCATTTATGTCTATAAGTGTTTATTGGCTAGTTAAATCTCATGAGCTACTTTTTTTTATTAGAAAATTTTAGTTGTGCAATGATGCTAAAATATAAATATACGCTAATACGACTAAATTTAAAATGGGTATTACTTGCCCTCTCTGAGCATCAACTTAAAAAAACACATTAACTCAATAATGATACTGACAAATAACACTGTGAATTAAATTTAAGCTCAGATGATATTTTTAGTTCTTGACATTTAAAATTCAATCAAACTTGAAAACTTTTTCTATTATGCAGCATTATGATGTTCTAAGATTAAATTGTAAAATGAACATATTTTACTATAACACTTGTCTCAACAGTTAAATTCTAATTTCTTTATTTTTCAGAAATGGATTCCGTGAAGGCACCCAAGCAAAACCCAGAAATAGGCAGAGTTAATCTTATTTAATGTTTTGTCAAACAACCATTAAAAAAAATAAAAAAATGTCTTTGTAAATAATGTTTTATCATGTTTATTATTACCACATGTACATATAACCCTAGAGTTGCTACAAACTGAACAGAAATTGACTTATAATAATTAAAATTAAATAATTGATTTTTAAAAGGCTATGAAACTTTTGCACTATCTTGTATATAAAATTTTTAGTAGGATAATCTTAGAACTAATTTTATCCTTAACTACAATTTTGCTGCTTATACTGCAAAACTGCATATCTCAAAAATTGATAAAATGAGATTGTTATCAACAATCAAAATAAGTGTTTCTGAATATTTTTGTCATATATATTTCTTGTTAGATTTGTTGGTTTCATTGTATATTATGAAAGTAATGCCATTTCCTGTATTAAAACATGGTTAATTCAAAATTATTATATGATCATATTGTAAACCTGTAAAAACTGATATATGTACTGTTGTAGTATAAATAATACGATACCGGCCTATAATAAACATGCTACTGAATACTCAATAAGTATTGTAACACATGTAATTTATTGAGTAATTATAAAATTTTTAATGAGCCATAAAAATAATTTTGACAATTGTACAAAAAATATATCTAATTTGACATATTATAAATAAAATATCTTTTTATTAAAGATAAATAATAAAAAACAAACGATTTAAATTAATCTTGCGTTCTTTGACTATATCAATAAAAAAATAAACACTATATATTAATAAAATTTAATATTTTAGATATATTGCTATGGGTCCTAACCAAATACTTAAAAGTAATCACCAAGCAAAAAAAAATTGAAGTGGAATATGTATATAATATATAAAGGGATAAATTAAATTTGAAAAAATACAAGATTAGTCATTTAAATTGTCTTCAATGAAATTTTTTTACTAATTCAATGCGTAAATATAATTTTAATATGCACTGCGAATAAGGTAGTTTCTCGTATTTTAATACTTTTTAGGAGATCAAAAATAAATTTTTTCTCTGATTACACTACGTTTTTATATTTTTTAAATAGTTTAATTTCGATTCAAACCAAATCTACGATATTTTGATGAATGTTTTTATAAGAGTAAGAAAGTAAAACCGAAATCCTAATATTTCATACTATTTATAAGTTGAATTTTTTGAGTTGCTGCTTTATTCGTTGCGCATGACTATTTGAGATTTATAAACATGCTTCATAGTAGTACGTACATATATTGCCTTAAAGTATTAATTAATTATATTGTTGTAGATAATAGATTATAATTTGAAACACTCAGTATACCCATTAAGAAAATGTAGGTCTTAATTCATCAACTTTAGAATTTTAACTGCACAAATCAAAACGCATTAAACTAATATTTAAAATATATTTGTAATCAAAAATTAATTTCATAACATTGCAATTTAACTAAGTATACTACATAAATTCAATTCTTCATTCTTTTATACGTTCACTTATGGCTTAGGAAACAAGTCTTTTACATAAAATCTGTTTAGAATTAAATCTGGTTACATATAAATGGTTCTTAATATTAAATAAAATTAATTAAAGCAGTTAATTGATATAAATTTTTTTAGATATTATTATATTTTACTAATACAAATAATATGTAAGGGTTGACTAATTGATTACTTTACCTTTTAAGATTAGGGATAGAGTTTACTGTATAATTTAAACTTGGCATATTTTTGGTTGGATTATCGTCTGTGCCAGCTTGATTACTAATTTTTTTAATTTTATATTTAACATAGAAACATTATGTTGGATTTTTTATTGTCACGATCTAAATAAGTTATTTAAAATACATCACGTTTTCGAACATTTAAGACATACATACATTTTATAACTATATCACAAATTAAAAAAGGAGGTTTCGAAGAAAAATTATTCATCTATTTTTCCGGCGAATTAGCGTTTTCATGACATATTACAGTTTACATAATTCATTCTTCCTATAAAAAATTCTAATTGAAAACATAGGGCAATAAATTAATACGTTTTTTTTGTGTGTGTCTGATGTGTACGAAATTAAAATTAAATATGTATAGTATATTTTTATAGATTCATAATATGCGTTGGTCACATTTATAATAAGACTCAATTTAATTGATTTGAAAATTTTATATAAAAATAAAATTTGTATACAGAGTGATTCCTTATGCCCACGAAATACCTTCGAAAATATTACAGATAATCATTTTATTTCTAAGTTCTTTATTGAGCAGCTTTATACGAAAAATAAAATGTTTGTTATCGAACTCACAACTTCAAATATTATTTATTGTGACTACAATACAAAGCAAGTATAATTTAACGTATGCTTTCTTTGAACGTAAAACAATCTATTGCGTAATAAACCATTAAGAGAAGTTATGAAACTTTTAGAGATATTTGACATTATTTATTCAATCCAGAGATACCAATATTTATCCATCCCACAGTTATATTCTTTTAATACATTTTAATTATCTCTTACTATTTTTCATATTAGACTACTTACTCCCTAATTATTTACATTACTATCTTTTAATATTTTTCTATTCTTTTTGGTGTATTACTAAATGCTTCATAGAAGTGTTCGAGGCGTTAAGTTATTTTTCATCATAAAATAATACTATTTCAAAGTAAAATTTACACTTTATTAACTTAAATAAATAAACAATGACAATTTTCATTACTTGTTTTTTACATAATGATTATCTCAGTTTACTGTTCCAAAATGAAAATTGTCTGTAGTTGGTATCGTTTATAACAATTATGTAATAATTATTTGACGAATGGAAGATAATGCAAAGAAAATTATATAGATTACAAATAATTTATTTTTATAGTACAAATTTTAATTGAATACTATAAAAGAAAATTTACTCATACTCAACTGTAAAATACATTTATCTAATAAATATTCTATTTTTATAAACATTTATACTTAGGAACTAAAAGCGTCTATTTCCGTTTTGTGCACACAATAGTACGGTTTTCTATGCTCTATTATAAAATATATACATAGCTCATATTATAATATACATATTGTATTTTCTGGAGCGATATCAAAAAACTTTTTTTTTTTATGAGGAGGCGTTAATAGTAAAATTGCTGACTGGAATTTTACATGTAATTGAAAGAATTCATTCTACTCTTATTAACAAACATCTCGGTTTCACCGACTAATAAGAGTCCCCAATAAGTCAAATGTTACAACGAGGGGAAATGTCATACTTCTATGACCCCTCGTTGGCCCATACCATATCAATTTTTAGAAGTTCTGTGGCCAAAGTGCTATTGACAATTGTATACAATTAAAATACAAAATATAAAAAATAACCAAATTTAACTTTAAGATTAAATTTATCTTATATTAATGTGTTCTTCTTCTTCATCTTTGGTGTTTAAGTTTTCTTCCATCGATGGCCTATCGTCCGTCATAGCTGGTATAATTTTATACTCAGCCTTAGCAGGATGGCTTTGTCGTTGTTGTTGTTGGTCGAAAACTAGTGGTATATAGTTTTTAGGTTTATCATCTTGTTGAAAGTTTATTACTTGTTCAGTCGTCTTATTTTCGTTGAATAGAAATCTAGAAATATTAAATGCAAGTGAGCGTGAAACCAATATGAAGTTAGAAAATAATTATGATTAAATTTTAAAGGTTTAGGTTACATCTTACAGGGGTGAATACGTGATTTTTTATTTACCAGGATATATTAGATGGGCCCATATCACAAAAAATATTCTGCTTCCCACGCTCGTGGTTTATCGTAACTATGCTGATTTTAAATAAATATACATTCATTTAACATGCATTGTTTTTCAACTTTTATTTTATCAATCAATTTTAGAATAATAATATATTTCCAAGTAATTTGTGTTTAGTATCTAATATATTTATAATATCTTGTGAATCAATATTTTCGAGCTGATCATTTTGAAAATTTATATTGATTAAACTTTGTACTAATTTTTGATTCTTGACAACTTAAAAACGAACGCAAGAGAAAAGTTGAGGCCTCAGTTATAAAATGAATGATATCCAAGTAATAGGGCTTACTAGGACATTGGAAATTTCCCGATAGACCTATCCACTCCTAATCTCTTTCCAAATAAAGAATAAGAGACCTATTTTATTTCTGCTAATTTTAGTTACCAACACAAATTTATTTCAATTAGAATTTTTTTCTGGTAAATTATAATTAATTTTTATTAATATAAAACAATTAAAATTGATTAATTTAAGTCAACTCTGAACATACCTGGGAAAATATTTAAGCGCACGCTGAGTGCGTTCCTTGGATGGCCACATAAATGGTGAAAAAGCCATACGGGCATACCTTTCAGCGTGTTCTATCATGTTCATTAGCCTTTGCGGCAATAGGTGAACGATAAAAGATCGTTCGCCACTAGCACTACTATTGCTACCATGCCCTGTTGCTGTCATGTTTGACCCATCCGGCATTCGGTACATACGAAACCGACTCTTAGGACGCAAAACAGGCTCGTTTATATCGTCAGACGTAGTTCCGTTGCTTTTTATAGTCAGCTGATCGTACGGAAACTCGTCTTCTGTGGTGGCGTCCGCTGCCGAATGGTTTTTTATGGTGGACGATGGACGAGATCCACCAATAAATCCACGACCCGAGTGTTCTCTTCTATCTGCTGGCGCCGAAGGGTCTAGACTGTTACCAGTTGGTTCGATATCCAATACTGGCATCCATGGCACATTCATATACTCTTTGATGCCCACGCCCAATGTGGCACTTAATTGTTGTGCAGTCGTATCACTTGAAGAAGTGGCCATTGATGAACCGTCGTCATTCATCATAGTTGAGTCATTGATATGTTGCTGACCGAACTCTGGTTGGCCGTTACCGTAGTCCGTTTTGTCTTTCACGCCTTCCTGTACATTTACATAAGTCTGTTGTTAGAGTAAATTATTATTTTTACACATCTGTTAGATATTCATAAGATTTATGGAGCTTTATGTTTTAATGGCACTGCTCCCTATATATTATTATTATTTTCATTGTTTGTTGAAATATTAGAAAAAATAATGAGTTTTGTACAAATTAAACCGCTTACAGACTAGTGAAAGTTCCGTGGATTTATTATAAGGCGTGGTAATGTACACGAGAAGATGACTGGTATATTTGTCTATAATTGTTACATAATTTTACATACTTTTTCAATTTTTTTTTCAAGTAGGATTACATTGTAAAGGATTTGTAAAAAATATGAGTGCATTTTTAATGTCTAAGATGATAGCCAACATTAATGTTTACACACTAGATGGATTTTATTAACATAAGCAATGACTTTTGTCATTTCTTAGGTTAATCATATTTTATACATAGTTAAGTCTAAAAATGTATAGGAAAAAAATGTGCCCTCTGCGCTGTTTAAACTATTAATCTAGCCCAGTCACGGAAAGAGGGGTCTATAGGAGCAATGCTACCCCAAAATCAGAATTATTTAAAAAATGTTCTTTTTTTTAAATAACTCACTTTAACAGGTATAGTGAAATTTCAAAAAATTTCTTTTTGATCCCCTCCTAATTTAACTGTTAAATACTTTTAAATATGCCATTGTAATGTAAAGTGTATAAGAATACTTACAGTATATTGCAGACTAAGTTCTGGTAGATTACAGTCTCCGGGATACAATGGAAGTACGACAGGTTCGTCGGATTGCAAAACAAGATCTCTCTTACAGATTGATTGACTTAAAAACAAAATATTGCATCATAAGTTTAAAAATAAAAATTCGGTAGTTAATTGAAACGAAATATGACTATTGTTTATGTATTCGTGTATTACCTTATACCATAACTGTCTGTTAAAATAAACTTGTCGATGCTCCATTTCTCAAGACCGTTAGACAACCACCCTTTGTATGCCGTGTACGTGATCTGTACTCTATCGAAGTCTTGCAGTGCTGGGTGTGGTACAATGATTCTCTTGAGGGTTTCGCCCAAGGTCATTTTGGCATCATCTTTGCTGTTAGTAATAATAATTACAATGTATTTCAACAATAATTTGTACTAGAAAGCGAGTTGTTGTATTCTTTATACTAACTGAGTGATGGTAAATGTCTCGTTGATGTCTAATTGACCAAAAAGTACAATTTGGATTCTACCGTAACTAACTACTGGTAGTGCACTAGGTGAGTTGTATACTTTTGCAATGTATTGATGCGCTGAAATATTGTGGAAAAATATTGTGAACTCCAATGGTTGTATGTTATTTATTCATTAAAAATATATAAATAAAATATAGTAACTATATATTTAAAATATATAATTTTGTAGTATGTATAAAATCATCCAAAAATTACTAATTGCTAATTATTACTACTTAAAATAATTGTGGAAAACTATACGGGTTTACTAACAAAATATTCGTCCTTATAAATTATAGTGTTTATGTCCTTGACAGATTTTATATTACCTTTATTGGACAAGAAATCTTAAGAAATCTATTTTACCAAATTATTATTTTTATATTTATGATTTGATGGCCATGTCATGAATATTACTTTACTCGGTTTCCTATTTTTAACACAATCATGAAAGGTTATAAAATATTTTTTACTGTCTATTTTATAATAAAAAATATAGTTTATATTTAGGGATGAAACAAGAAGTTTGATTGAGAACTTCTAAGGGATTTCTATTAGTTTTGTTTAATAACGATTGTCTTAAGTTATACACCTAATATTATCAGAAAGACTCGATAAATTTGATAATTTAATCCAGTTTTTGATGGAATGTTTAGGGTAATAATTCGTTATAGAAAGTAAGGCCTAATAATATTAATTATTGGAAAGAGATAAATTTAATAAAACCGTTGTTTTGAAATTACTAATAAAAATTATCTTGTGTAAGTTTCAGGTATGCGTGTAAATTTGTAACGCAACATATTTAGGGAAACGGTTAATTTAATGTTTTTTTAGCTGTCACAAACAATTTTTTAACGCGTCGAAAATAAATAAGAATTATTATTGTTACAAAACGCTTTGAATTCCTAAGAACACAATAAAAGGTAAGAAATAAAAAGTTACTTTTTTCCAATAACATATCAGTGATAAAGTCAAGATGATTAACTTAGAACTCACGAAGTGTAAAATAAAAGCAAATCTGGGTGCAGCAAAATGTATTCTTCTTTATGTAAACTAATAGTTTGAAATGAAATATAGCAATGTTTAAAGTTGTTTTATGTTAGGATATATTTGTACAATGTAAACTAAGTATGTCATATTTTATGGTAGAGTAGTGTTTTTTGGCCAGTTGTTGCCAAAGTAAACTATTTAAAATCTAAAACTGTTAACGTTAATTTATATTAACATAATATACACATATGTTTACTAATATAATAATTTTAGAGCAAATTTATTAAATAATTAATATTTACAAAATTACAAGTAGTTTAATTGACCATATAAATGTAAACTTGAATAAAGTATCATTGTGAATACTTTATACATTGTGAATTTATAAATTAAATTAAAACTCACTAATTGTTAAACTATCTTATTGTATTAGAAGATTTCAAGGTACAACATTTTATTGCATTAAGAACATTTATGTTAAAAACGTTTAAAGGTTATAATTCATTACGAAAGAATAAAATCAAGTTTAATTTTTACATTTTGTGTTTGTTTAATAGACATTATTAATTGAGAAGAACGTTTTTTCTATAAAATGCATTAGTTATAGTTTGTTTAATGCATGAACGAATGTTCATTCTTGAAGGTTTTATTATACGGTCAGTAAGTTGTGAAATGTCTTCTTCTACCAGTGACGTTATTGGTGCTTAGATTATTTTTAATATGTGTTAGAAGAAGATTTTTAATAATATATCAGAATTAATATAATCATAGTAATGAATTTAATGAAATATCATGTAAAAAAATACACAAATGCTTTAGGTTGACTGTATAGTTTATGTGCTCTAGATCCCGTAAACGATACCCGGAGAAAATAACGTGTACCGTTTATCTATCGCTGTTGGTGTTATGATACCTTGACATAATAATTGACACATTATATGGCCCACTTAGTTCCAATATAACAAGAAGAGAGTCCAACGACTTGTCGGTTGTCGACCCTCGTTAGTTAAGTAATATTTTACTTCAAATACGCCGTTAACCAACAATTATAATTTTGCATGATGTTGCTGACATAAGTACAATAATATTGTGATCCAATTACTACAGTAACAACCGAACAAGTTTTTGACATGATAAACGCTTACCGCAAAACGGTTCCTCGTCCCTGGTGAGCAAGTAGAGTTTTCCGCGTCCGGGCGACTTGTCTGCGTAATATCCCATCGTACCACACTTGGTCTTGTCTTTACATGGAAAACACTCTCCATCCAAGAACTTCTCGTAAGATTCACATGGAACCGCCGGGAAAGCACAACCTGGGGTCACGCTGTCTGTGAAGAACTTGTACGCCCTCCGGTGGTTGCAAAGACTACGACCGTATACTTCAGGTGCGGCTGTAATCGAACCGAGATAATAATTATTATTTGCCATAATTACATTGTCAAAATGGAAACATTTTATTTTACAAAATCGATTGGTTCATATCACATAACGATATTACATTGGCTAACATCAACGTGAAATATTATTGAGTAACTTCAATTCCATGCGCATGTGCTCATGAACTAAGTACTAGCTGATTTTTTATGTGATTAGCTATCGTTCTATTGCTATTTGATAACACAGTATGTATCTTACATGATAAGGTTTTTGAAAGAAAAACAAACGTTCAAAATCGTCAGCCCCAAGATTTAATTTCACGAATATGTCTATGATTTATGTTTAAAAGTAAATTTCGGGAAAATTATTCATTTCGATTTAACGTCGCTACGATAGTCACTAATTTGACCATTTTATGTCGAATTAATATAATAACCATAAAGTTCGGCGTGCTTTGAATAGCTATTAAGAAATTTTATTCAACCTAAATATACCGGAAAATATTGAAGGCTTCGGAATTAGTTTGTGAAAGCATCTAATTACTACTAATCGTGCCGTTACTCATCGGCAGATGGTACATAACGGTAAATACGGTTAATCTGGAAGATCATGTACAAAGAGTTGTACACCAATTGAGGTATTTCAAAGTTAATATTATTCGTGCCATGTATCCAATTACCTATGAATAAACCTAGCAGAATAAATTAATAAAAATTTTGGCTTGGTCATCTTTTAATTACACTTGGCACATTTATTGACAAAAAATATTTTATTTTTGTTACAATTGCTCGTATAAAAATAAAATATTTATCTTGCTTGAATAATAAACATGTAAACAGGAATTGCGAGAACTCAAAAAAGAAAACTGGAATCAAGTATTTTAAATTTTATTTATTTTTACTACTTAATGTTAATTGGTCAAAGTACGATTACTGTACCGTTATAATTTTTCAAAGTATTATGTTTATATTTTTCCTTATCAATATTTTGGTCATTGGTTATATTTTGTGAACCGTTCGGTAGCAATTCTAAACAAAATTAAACATAAAATTAACACATTTTATTAGTGTATGTACTTTAGGAAACTGTAATTTATCAGTAAGTGTTATTTTAGTGTCTGTAAATAATGATTACTTTTCCAAGCGCATTTAACATATAGCAGCTATAATATTTCGTATATTTATATGACCTTACACATAAAAATAACTAGTTTATTTAATTAGAATATCACCAAAGTAGCATCCGGAAATCACAAATAACTCAACTGAAAGTTTTTTGGATGAAAACATGCCTGGCGTGAATTGGTAATGCTACCTACTGTAGGTTATTTGGGAAATTAAAAAAAAATCCTTTTTTAAATATCACGTTTACTAAACATGTTCGAATATCGATGAAGATTTTTTGCTTTGTATAGCTTATTTCTTGCAAAAAAAATGTAATAAATATTTGTATATTTTTAAATCATTTTTTAAACTATTTGTGTTAAATTTAACGTTATACTTTTTTACTTACACCATATAATATCAGTTACGGCACCGACGAATAGATTAGAACAGCCCTTTTGCATTCGCCCACCATTGGGGTAGTAGTCTACGTGCCCCATGGGCTGCCAGGCCCCAAGACCACCCAGTATTAAATTTTCTCCGTTTGAGTGTATCACGTCGACAAATTTGGCGTCGGTTGAATCTAATCTAGTCTTAGGATCTTGGTTTTCAAATAGAGGACCGGCAGGATCTAGACCTGTGATACGACTCAAATTTTGAAGTTCAGCACCGGCATATCCAGCAGCATGAGCTCCCAAGCTGAAACCTATTAAATGCACGTTCTCTATTGGCAAATTGGCTTTGAGCGCTAAGCCCGAGATCAACATGGCCACTTGTTTGCCTACCAGTCTTGTGTTTGCCGCCGCTCGTACGTAATTCGGTATGATGGCTCCAGCTTCCCAGTCTACACATATGATGTTGCAGTCTTCCTGTAAATATGAGTCAAAACAGTTTCATTTACAAGATTTCATATCAATAAGAGCACGTGATATTTTACGCAATATTGCAACATAATATACCTCAAGAGATTTATTTTCAAAAAACATGATAAGTAATAAACTTTTGAATAGGAAATCATTTTACAAGATATTATTTTTCATGTTTAATTTTATACATTGAGGAATAATAACGCCTTTTTACTTCAAAAAGCTTATTACTTCATGTCTTTGTATAACATAACCTTGCCTTCTTATGGGCATTCTGAAATAATTAAGAAATGTAAGTCATTTTTAAGGTCATTGAGAATGAACGAAAGGGAAATGATTACGTTAAGAATTGGAAGAAACGCATGTCGCCGACCATTGGACGTTTAGTTTCAATGACCTAGTCTGATGCACCGCGCATTTATTTGTCCAAAGACAAACTGGTTTTTTAGCGTGCCACCAAAGGAATAATAAAACATTTAATGAGAACAAAACGTGTGATTCTACAGAAATTTAAATCACTGAATTTATAATATCTCTAACAGGAACCATCCGTCAATAATTAGGTGACACAGATCTTTTTTAAAAAGATAATTCAATAATGATCAAAATAGGTAAACGCATAACCGTAGTAATGCGTCAAGCTAACCATTAAATATTATTATTGTTTTTAAATGTGTGGTACTCGTCGTTTTTCATTAATGGAAAATTTTTGTTAATCGTGTAGGCTATTGTTTTTTTTACATATACTGCAAAACCAAGAACTGTAAAATGGTCAATGTCATACTCAAAATTACACTTAATGAGTATTTAAGTGATTCAGTTATTTCTTTAAATCAGGGTTAATGTTAAATACGTTAGAATATTGAAGTAAATATGTGAAATAAATGTTCGTAACTTCAGAAAAAAATTAATTATTTATGTACATTGTTTCGTTCATTTGGCAACTATTTTTCGCGTGAAAAATTGTCGTCGCCTCGAGATGCAATGAGATGATATTTAAGAAGTTTTATGTAACTACCAACGTCGCAACGTTATTGTTACTCAGTAAAATATATTTCAATTATTACGAAAATAGAAATTACTGCACCTTAGGCGATTGTGTTTGATTTGCATAAAAATATTTGTGTCATCCGTAATATTTTTTTATGAGAACGACAACAAAATGTTCGGAAGTCATTGAGCAACAAGAAGAAAAATAAAAGACATATTTTCAACAGCCATGAGATAGAGTATGCCACAGGTAGATTTCGATCATAATAGATATTATAAACTTTGTGAATATTATTGTAGTATAATTTTGTTATTGCCTAATTTGTTGGCTAGTAACGATGACATGCAATAAAAACTCGATATGCATTTTAAATGTACTTGTATAACAAGGTGATTTGTCATTTAGGTCTCTTATTTTAAACATTTAATAAGTTTATTTCTGAATCTAACTTTTTATGTAAGCATTTTTTTAGTGTAATTTTTAATTTATAATTGCAATACACTATATCGTAAGTAAGTTAAGAATGCTCATATCATTGGTGAATGCATTAGTAATACTAAAAATTCTCCAATATTAAGTAAGATAATAAAGAAATATTTAAATTACACATTTTGTAACCTTTGAAAATTAGAAAATATAATGTGAAATATTCATCTTGTAATGTGTAATCAGCAACATTTAAAATATAAACGTAAAAACAGCATTCAAAAATTGATATTGAATTTATATGTATTTTTATTATATGCGCATGAAAGAAAACTAAACATTTTTAAGGAAGAAACCGGTTGTACCAATGACAATTAAAAACTGAAAATGGAGTGATTCAATTTAACCCTAATATTGATTTACATATATAACTGATTACGTTAGGTCAATCAACTGAATTCTTGATCATTTTTCCAAATTATATTTATGAAGTATTATTGTATTTCCTTACCGCATCCATTAGAGCAGATCTCATTTCGTACACCCACACGTTTGAACACGAACTTCCAAATCCATGTACAATGACTTTGGTAGGTGCAGATACGTTAAATGCTTTACCGGCCCAATGCCATATGGACGTCATGTTTGTGAATGATACATCCAGCAAGGGTGTGTCTCGACGACTCCTACGGGAGTTGTAGAGTAGAAATCTCGTATTAACCTGAAGAAATGAAATATTTTTATCATAAAGATTCATACATATAGGGTGTCCCTTAATGTTCTGACAATTTACCATAAGAAAAGTATATGAATTTGTCAGAACATATTGGGACACTCTGTATATTGGATTCAAACTTATCAATCTATTCAGATAGCTCACATACTTCGTTTGGAGGATTAGGTACGGTTCCTATGTAACCGTAAGGACCAGATTCATCAAAGCAGCCCACTTCTGGGTAACATACTTTTGCTTCTGCTCTTTTGTGTCTAAAAAAAAGATATTTGAAGAAATATTTAAATAAAATTTTAATTAAACAATAATAATGCTGGAACAACTGTATTTTTTTATTTCATATTACATTATTGTACAGCATTAACAATAGAATACTCATTACTAGAATGCGAAATTATAAGAATTTATAATTTTTTTCCAAGCCGATTTAAACGGTCCTAAATTAGTAAACTGTGTCATTGAATTATTAAGTAGCGTAGAAATATTTTTTATTTCTTGGGGGAATAACTCCCAAGTTACCAAGTTTTAAACTGAGTGAATAAAAAATTGTATGTGCTGATTTTGAATACAGAGAATAACTTAACAAAATTTATAAATGCACATAATTCCGTGCTTTACTCATTATACAATACATTTATTTATTACGTTAAGTGCCTATCAAGGATCCATATTTTTATTTTAAAGACCTTCAATTGTGTTGAAGCAAATATATTTATTTTATGTGAATAGTGCAGTCTTAAGAAAAAAATTATGATTCCAGCAAACCCTAGAAAATCAACCCAATCCAAATGAATCATAAAAGTAAATATTAAATTTCACAATATTTTTATTATTAATCATATAACCACGTTCGGATATAAATTATTATGTTGTAGTCTCAAAATATAATGAGTTTTCTATTTATTTGAAAACATCAATATAGCTGTAATTTACTTCATAGAACTTATTTACTTAGTATATATATATATATATAAGAAATATTTACTTAATTATATACAGATTAACTAATAAAACTATCGTTGACAAGCATTTTTTTAGACTAAAATTATCAATACTAGAAAGTTAGGAGGATTTAGAAGTGTTGTGATAAAATATTAGATGGCTTGAGCGATTATTACAAGGCCGCCTGCTTAATAATATTAAAGGTCATCACAAATCGAACATTGTCCCTACTGGGCAAAATTGAACATTTAATGAAATAATTAGAATTTTCAGAATATGTATATATTTTGGATTCCTTTTTTTACAGTAATTTAAAATTATTATTTGCTATAAATAGATTTATAAATATAATGTATGGATTTCATATTCATAAATATTTCTACTAACATCAAAAATACTCCAGCGTCATTTGATTTTTTGGTTAAAAAAAAGATAGTGGACTGTACTTGTAATTGAATACTTGGAGCATATCGTGAAAGGACGTTATTTTAATATATGATACGCTAAATTATTTGTTATTGAGTGTTGTTTACTAATAAGGATTACTAACTACTAGTATAAACATATTTTAAATAAAGAGTAATGAATGATATTTTGACCATTGATTATTTGTCATTGATATTATTTTTAATAAAACTAATGAAACTAAATGAAAACACAAATACTTATTAGAGATTAGCACTTAGTTGACATTTAATTTCATATATTACTTCAGAACTATGACACTTGTTAGTGTTGAATGGTGTATTGCAAAACGCCACAGCTCATTAGAAGAGTACAATAAACAAGAAGTACAATAGCATCATTAGTAACTAATGATAATTATATGAAAACGTTTGCTTAATATTACAAACTCAAAAAAAATTAATCTATAGTTATTTTATACAATATCATGCGTAAGTTGTTTCGTTTTACAATTTTTCTTTATGAATGGAAAGCCCACAAAAATTCGTCGTTCAAATTTTCATTGTGAATGTTAACTATGTCGTTTTTATCAATAGGTTTTCCATTATCACCGCTAGTATTAAGTGATCATAAATTAATTGAAGTTTAATATAATAAGTTTTATAACACAATATTTATACAAGATACTTGAACGGTAGATTGTTTTGTTTTTGTTGATTATGTTAAATATGAGTGAATATTATAATATATTGTTTGTCTATAAACTAATTAACTTTAAGTTATTTTCAACACTTTCATAAGTGAAATTATTTTAGATGCTATCCATGAATTTAATTAAAGTATTTTTGTAAAAACCATGAGTCATATATAATGTTGATGAAAAGTAAAACATTTTTTGATTGATGAAAAAATATTCACTACACCAATAATTCACAAAGATTATCGAATTATTATATTTATGTATTATCTACAGTACCCTTCTAAGGGGAGATGTCAACGGATCCATAGACTGGATTCCGGATCACGTTTTTATAAACCTTATTTCTAATTATAATTGTATAATTTGATCACCTTCAAGTTTTGTTCTTAGGTTTTGCTAAACGACGTAAAAAGTCTAGTTTTGCTAATATTTTATTAAAATATTAGCAGATTTCGGTTTGTGCAAGTTAAATCATAGAATTATTTTAATTAGTCTTATAAAAAATTTACTTAATGCATTTTCCATTGTTTTGCTACCCTTCATGATTTTATAGTAAACATTTATAAAGTGTAATGATAACACTGTTTTACCAACGCATTTGATATTATTAAGAATATATGTAAATTGCGTATTTACAAGATATATATCATTTTACTACTGAGGTCTGTAATTTTTATAGACATTTATCATATTTCTTAAACTAAACTCATATATTTTATTCAGTAACAGTTATTATTGTAGTAAAACCTTTAACACATATATAATTAACAAATTTCAAAGGAAAAAACTTTCGTAAAATTCATTATTTTAAGAGAAATTGAGTGGCTGCGTGAAAAAATCACCTTGTACAGTATAAAATCATAAAATGTAAGAAAATTTTAAATGAATTGTTTTATGATAATCCATAAAAACTCCAAAGAAATTTTTCCGTACAAATAAATTAACAACAATATATTGTCAAGTATGCTATTTGTCTTCCAAATAAATATAAAATTCCACCAATAATCATAAAATAAAATAAAATGGACTTGCAATATTTCATATTTTAATTACTCTAAACGAAATGATTTATTACTAATATAAAATGAACTCAGCAAATTCAGTTGGTGTAAGTCAAATTTATTATTATTTTATTTTGTGAGGATAGAAAATGCCAAACATAATTTTTATAAGTATTAATGTGAATCTTCTGTACCTTTTGGATTCGCTATTCCGTTGTCGCCATTCTTCCATAGACTGTACGACAGATTTATAGATCTGTAAGTCCATCATTTCGTCGGCTGCTTCTAATTCTGCACTCGCCCATTTTGTGCCACTAAGTCTCGTTTCTCCACTAACTGGAAAATTAAAATTAAATTAGGTACTGTCAATTATTCATGTACGTGTTTATATTTTAATATTATTACTGCTTAGTCTATGATCATGTACCGTAACCAATTGATTTTCATAAAGAAAATAAGTTATTATTAATATAGGTAGTAATTTTAAGATACTACATGAAAAATAGATAATTGTCAAATAGATAATTATATTGTTGCTATATAATTTATGATTTTTTTAGCACTTAATTTTATAATAAAAGTACCTTATGCAGTAAATAATAATTGTCTAAAAGCTTAAGTTTTCAATACATCTCATGCTATTAATATTAAGTAAAACAAAAACGGAAATTGATTTTGTTCATTTTTTATTAATATATTTGCAGAAATTATACATTATGAACAAATGTAATTGATAAATATATTCGTTATTAGTTATTTATTATTAACGCAAACCAATATCATCTCACTGTCATTACAGAGGATGTGCATACCGAGTTATGGTGGTCGAATCAATAAAAAGTTATCAAAGATTAGATTGAGATAACCATTAAAAAACATGTTAAATTACATTATTGAGGAAACGTTTGATTGATGAGTTCATAAATAAGGTCAGTTGCTGTTCGAATAATACATTAATTGATTAACAAGAGGACAACCTTAAAAATCGTCTAGATTTTTTTATAGACCTATTTATATAAGAAGGCGATAGTTTTAGAAACTTTAGAGTTTCGCTTAAATATTCATTTGAATGTTGTTGTAGTATGGTGCACAACATCAAGGTTTGACGCTTGGGGCTAGGTAAACTATGATAAAAATATATCTTAAAGATTATCATACTATTTCAAATAATAAAGATACATTTTCAAACTTTATGATATTCAAATATAAAAAAATTGTTATTTTCTAAAATTATCCTTTATTTGTTTTTTTCTTACAGCATATGTATTTTTAAATAATTTTTCTTTGAAATATTAAAATGTGACAAATTATAAAACCCGTAGGCTTACATAGAAGACGATATAACATAATCAAACGGTTCTATTTATATTTATGTGTAGGTAACATTGATGGATGAGCGATTTTCTGGTAGGTCATGGTTAATAATCGAACGGGTTCCTAGTATGATGTTGTTAGATATTCATAACACGGTGAGAATAACGAACAAAATCTCCGAAAAGAAAGAAAAAAACAATACATTATTATATTTCGGTTTGTACTGGATTTCGTTGGAGAAACCTAAATAAAACAGACAGCGAATGAATGTGAAGTAAAAGTTTGCACTAACTATGAATAACAATATACTAAATATTTAGAGGTTTTAGTGAGAGAAAATTTGACATGTAGAAAAGAACTATATATTTATGGATTTTTAAACCGTAAATTTCTTCTTCTCAATTAATTACTTTATGATAAACATCCATATGACACTAGATAAATAATTATTTTAACTTTTTATCTCAATATCATTCAAGTAAAAATGCTTCTATTAAAAAAATGTTATTTTATATAAAATAATATATAATTTATCATTGCATGCTCTTATTAGTTAACCATACATAAAAGATGCAACTATCAAAGACTGTTATTATGCAAATTGTATGTTTTTTTGATATTAAAGTTAGTTATTTAATATGCATGTAGTTTTAAACTGAATATTGTGACAATAAATAGTATGGTTATTTTAGGAAGATAGCTAAGAATTAAATATTATAAGATAGATTTATCAAATTTCGGCTTATGACTTAAATTGGCATAGCTTTTACAAAAAAAAAATTATCAAACGCTTAGTATGAAATATAGTAATAAATAGCCCTTTATTTGTTGTTTATTTTTGACCATGATAATATTTTTCAAAATATTTATCAAAACAGCTAACTTAATTTTAACTTTATGTATTTAATTCATTAAGTTACTCTTGAAGATAATCTAGTCATTCGTCGAACGGTCAATTACTATTAATTTAAATAAAAGGTCTTCCGTTTAATATTCGTAATGGAGTTGAAATTTATTCAATTAAATAATCCTACAAACACATGTTTCATTGACTAGATAAAAGACAAGTAGATTAAATTAAAAAAAACGAATTTATCGTTTAGTGAGTAAAAATATCGGTATAAATTATTTGTGTTCTTAAGTTAGATTAGTCATTAATATTTAATGAATCACTAGGATCTATATACTCTTCATTGTTTGTTGAAATCCGGTCAAACGATCATTGGAGGTTATTGGTTCAATGTATCAATGTTTATATTGAAAAAAAAAGTAAAAGAACTTGACTTAAATTATACCTAGTGTTATATATATATATATATTTGATACAACAAACATTATTTACTGCTAATCTATATATATCTATATAATAATTTATTAAAAATCCTACTTTTAAGGAAGATCAAGATTTAATTATTATGATCGTTTTAGATCTAATACAAGTCATGTTAGGAGGTAATTTTCAATAAATTAAATGGTTTTCTGCTAAATCAACTCTAATTAATTTTATGTGGAAGTTGATAAGTTTAAAGATTTCCGTGAAATACATATAGTATTTGTATTAAGTCTATTAAAAATAAGCAATTACCAACTAAATTAAAAATAGGTCTTAGAAAATAACTTTTGTAAATTGTATTTTGCGACAATAGTTTTATAAATTTAATTTATTAATTTGTAACATTAAATGTTTAATTCACCGCTCTAAAATCAAAAAATACATTTGTCACGTATATTAAAAAATTATCCTTTACATTAATATAATTGTAAGTATTTATTTTGCTTAAAAAATACTTTTCTTTCTTTTTATTACTCGTACGAACCAGGTACAAAGAATATTGATGGATAGACAGTTTAACGATTTCTATTTTGGTCACTATGTTAACATGATTACATACAAAAAATTCATATTGTATAATTTATAAAGAGAACATGTATAAAATAAAATTGTGGTGTCATTTTAAATAACATCGTAACACGGGAGAAAGAAAAAAATAAGCTAATTTAAATTGCACAGCACATCGAAGGCTGTCATTTCCTAGACTTGTTTGATCACTTTATTATTCTACTATTAACAGGGTATACAAATAAATAAGTACAGGATAATTCATAGTAATGTCCTACCAACCTCATTCAACAGTACTAATTTGTCAATTACGCCAGAACAATGTTGATGCGTTTCTAGGCGTTACAAATGTAGTGTGCGAAACTAGTTTGATGCCTATTACTATTCTTCGATCTTATGACCTTAATAAATCTTACAAATGAATACACTTACCTAAGCAAAGACATGTATTTATATTGTTAAAAATATGGCTTTGATTTAAAAATATTAGTATATATTAATATTATATTATTTTCACTGAAGTTGTAGTATTATACCAAAAAGATTTTTTATACATTAAGTATTATTTCTTAGGAAGAAAACTATGAATTTAAAAAATATAGCATAACATATTATGAATTAAACAGTTAAAAATTTCAAGTGAATATTTGTTTTGGTTATGGCATAAAAAATAAGTAAAATAAAAATAATTAAATCCAATCGTTTTTAAATATATGAACCGTCATTCACCTAAATCTATCGTAACATATAAATCAACAATTGCAAACTGTTGTGTTTCGTGATCCATTGCAGTTTGGGATGTTGTGTTCCTTTTTTATTAGTACTAATTGTTTTACTATTTTTATTTATGCGGAAGGAAAACATAATTTCACTTCAAAACAGAATATCAGTGTTTGGGCATAACATATAACATTAAACGGACATTTAGCTCAATGAGAGCTTGTTCACGCACTAATTCTTTGCTGTATTGTAAAATTAACAGCGTCTTTACCAGCTACTATTATGGATTAGTCAAGTATTTTAAATGTTTTTGGAACTACCTGTATCTTCCATTATAATGTTCATTAAAGTTAAAATTTGTTGTACTAGATAAAGGATATTTAAGCCGATATAAATATAGTATGGACTATAAAAAATTCATTTTAATGAATTGCATAAAATATTAAGTTTTCAAATTTGTATTTCATGGTATATTAGGAAAATGTTTAGAATGAGTCTAATTTAATTTCCTAAATTTTGAAAGGGAAGTATAATAAAAATCTATGAAATTATAAGTAACATTCATGTAATTGGATTAATAACGTATCTCCTAATTAATTAATATCATTTAAAATTATTTTCCTAAATTAACGTGAGAATAAAGCTAAATTTCTTTCGTCTGACTACTTAATTTTAAAGAAGAAATCTAGTTAATGGAAATTCAAACGGTGTAAGATAACTGATGGTGACTGGCTAGTGTTATTGTTCATTTTAATATGAAATGCACATTGTTTAACTCGCGTTAAAAAGAGTTTGTAATAAATTTTCAATGAAAAATATATGACTGTCAACACATTTTTACTGTACATTTACTCAAAACATGAACAAACTGTATATATATATCAATTTATTATGTTGAAATTGAAAAAATTCCATTTTTTTTACCGGAAATAAAAAAACAAAAAAAAGTTTATTACATTCATTAATTTTGAAATTCCATATCACAATATTTAATTATAATAAATAAAAATAAGCCATTTTTATAAATACATTTTTTTTTTTTGAAAACATATTTTTCAATAAATAAGATTATCATGAGAATTTAGAGTAAAAATTATTAGATTAATTATTCAAATCTGATAAAAATAATGTATAAACGTCATTGATTTTAAAATGTATTCCTTTAGAGCTACATTGAACTTTTCCTCGAATTAAAATTTTTTCTTTAACTTACATGCCAAAATTGTATGTGAAAATAAAATTATGTTATTACTTAATATTGATTAAGAAAAATATTCTATACTAAACTATAACAAATTCATGTCTTATCTTTGCTTTATAAAATTTAAATAGTAAAATGTTACATAAATGTATGAAATAGTTTTATAATCCATAATTCGTATTAAATTATAGCTTGATAATTTTATAATAACTAAAAAACATGTAAAAAGGATCTATGATTTGATATTCATCAAACTTGGTTCATAACTATAAAATAATATAATTTTTTTTTACATTGCACTCTTACATCAGTTTACTATATTCATAAAATATAAATGGAGGGGGTCACTCCAAAAAGCATAACTTGTACGAGGGAGTGATATCACTAAATGTATTACAATCAATTAACAAAATTTGCTATTCAGGTAACTTTGTTTATCTTAAGAACGATCTAAGTATAAACACGTGTATAAGACAATATATAACTGGCAAGTTTTAATTTCGTCATTAGTTTATTTAGCAGATGCCGAAATCCAAGTAAGTGATTTATATTAACAGAAAGTAAATTGTGATTGTTATTAAAAAATGTAGTAAAATAACTAAAACATGTTACACAATGTGTTGCTTCCTTAATAATTTGTTTGTTGAAGTACTAGCGTCATGAACGGATAAAAAAACAAATTACATAATTGTGCATGCTCTGTGTTAAATATCATTAAGTGTTTATGTAATTTATTTTAAATATTTTGTTCGTTACATGATAAAACTGTTTAAGTAAACCTGCTGATGATAAACATAATGATCTGTATGAATAAAAAATAAATATTTTATCCGTTTATATTTACACATCAATCAAGGGCAAAAGTTGAATTGGCACACAGATTTGCATCGTAGATAATTATTTATTCATTATTATGCAAAGTATAATATTTATATTGAAACTAAATGATCTCTACATTTTTAATCGAGAACTGTTATATAATTAATTACAGTTATCATTCATACGTTTTTGTTATATTTGACTAAATTAATTAATCCTTACTTAATATATTTTATTAATTACTAGTCAATAATAGCATTAGGTATTTTTATAATAAGTCATACTATGGATTTATTTAAAAAGTGGAGGAATTAAAAATTAATTAATCATTTAATTGATTTTTTTGAATAATTAGCGTTATTCATAAGATCTTACCTATTTTAACTCGATATTAATCTAGACCTCTTAGAGACTCTACTGTACACACTTGTCTTAAATAGTCTAAAGTTTTCTTGGAAGACAGTTATTTAATAATACTTAAATCTATGAAATTAACAGCACTATTATGTATAATGGTAAGGGAAATTCGCAATATATAGCCTTAAATTTATTTTTAATCATTTTGTATTGACAGTAATTACTATTAAAATAAATCTATTAAGTATTTTTAACAAAACGTTGATTTGTTTTAATAAAATTATTGGTTGCGTTTATTTTATTTTCACGCGATTTAATAACCCAAATAGGAATGTTAAAAAAATATGTTTTGTTAATATTTATAGAATGTTTAACTTTTAAATAAATAAGTGGTCCACGTTATTAAACTATTAACAAAGAAAGTGAAGTATCAATTAATAGAAATTCAATACTAATTAAATGTCAGTAAAGCTTATTAGTTTTTGATTAAAAACGTTGAATAACACCTTGTTTGAAACATTGAAACGCATTTTTTATATCGATTCGTATATAAGTAGGTAACTTAAGATATTGGTACACAATTTTTGTTGTGAACAGTGGACATAATATTTGTCCTCGAGGCGTCATCATAATCAGACGACATCTAGATAAATGTTACTTTCATCTGAATACATAATGCATTGTATTATACAAACATTATTAGCGTTTAAGTGCAGTGTATTAGCTAAGTTTTATCCTTTAACTGGAATGGAGACAAAAACGGTTTTCCCGGCGTAATGTCAGTCAATAAGGTTTGTGCGTACACGAGTGTTAAAACTAACGGTAAGCCCTAGACAACGAGGAAGAATTGGAAAGGTTGCAACACTGTTCCTACTGAACGTTATGGCGTACGTCATTCTATGATCGGCAATCTAAACGTGTGATTGAAACAGGTGAGTACACCGGAGACGAAGAAGATTCGGGCCAACAGGTCAATGGTTTGCGGTCGTATGTTAAAACACAGTTACTGCTACCTGGAAGAATTAATCAGTCGCAGTCGTTATTTTCATGGTGACAATTATTACTGTCGATCGAGACTAGTCATCGTCGTCGGTTAATTTTTTACACACGCTTCACACATCAAGTCCCGGAAACGAGCATTCAAAGCATAACTATTATGTGTTTTTTCCACGTCTCATCAATTTCCAGTAAGCCTGAACATGTTAAACTTTAATGTTACAGAACCTGTTCAAAATTAATTGTAATTCCCTTTAACGACATTGGTTATCTTAATGAATACTGTAACACTTATTTTTTACTTAAATTTCACATCCGTCCCTAGACTTAAAAGAATTATCTTAATTTATTAAGTTTGAATTATCCGTAAATTGCAATTTCAATAAAACTACTTAAAATTAGAAACATAAGAAGGTAAGCTAAATATTATCTGTTGTGCGAGGTCTATCTCCATTAAATGAAATCTGAAATCTATTATAACTCGTGCATGAAAGTCAATGTCAGCTCAATTATTAATATAATTGTATGGCCTCGCTTGAAAAGATTAAAAGTCATTACTTGGTTGAAAATAATAATTAATGAACTATTGTCGTTACTAACCGCTAATAAACCGTCATGGATTGCGATTAATCTAAAAAAATAACTGCTGCGACACAAGTATGTACTACAGTTATCGTAATTAAATCTTCGGTTAATTTAAGCTGCACAAATTGACATGAAAATATGCTTCGATAAATCGAATAACGATCGTTTAATTTTAGTGTTTACTAGTTGGGCATAAATCTATTTTTAGCAGTCTAGTGTAAAAACACTATCTCAATAAATGCCTCCGAGAAATAGATTATCATAACGGTGTTAATATCAGTTATCATTTGTTCTATTTTTATGCACTATGCCCTAAAAAAATCACCTAATAGTTGAACTCAGTCACGACTGTCGTGACTAGAACACAATCTATAACACAAAGTCAAGTTCATTACCACAATTCGTCGATTACTTCTATTCTTCTATGAATTCATTTTGGCCCGTATACTATTATTTCGTTGTTTTTATTATATTATAATTTTTCTATTTTCTGGAATACTCACACTGTGGGAAAATGGAAACGATGCGCTGGACCTTGAACCAGTTGACTGGTAAGGAGCTATAACAGACACCGCGGGCAATGATAGTCGAGTGTTGGGCGGCGGCTGCCGTGCAAAACGCCCCAGGATACGATTATCATAATACAAAATATTACAGTAATGATGTTATTATATTACTATACATAAACCTACTGTTCAGATTTACAGGTCGAGTAATTATTTACGATAACACTGTAAGTCGTTCTAGTCAACTAGTGGTGCTATCAGCAATTGACGAGTACAGGAGCGAAGATAAATGACTTTTAAATTAGTAAAACATCGTTAAATTAACGCTTAGAAATTGATGATTTTTTAATAAATGATCACTATTGATAAACGGCCATGGCATTTATCATTATTATTTATTAGAACGAATCATTAATACATTGACGGGCTTTTTTTCTATGTCTAATAAGTTTACAAAAAAATTTCTGATAATATGTTTATAGTTTGTACTTATGCAAATTAAGTAGGAAATTTAGATATAATTTATGCTAAGTTCGCGATTTTAGTTCAAAATAAAGTGAAAATATTCCCATAAAGAAAATAATAAATATATATGATAATTAATTATTTATATATAATTAGATTTCATGAAATAGAAAATGATAATTTTGACATGAAATAACTTTCAAGTTGCCTAAAGTCAAATATAAGGAATGGTAGATTGAATATAAACATCTAGATAAAATAAAAATTAATAATTATAACAGAAATAATAATAATAATTTTTTGATGCAGTAAATATTGATGTATTGTATAATACATAACACACAAAAAACGTGGTTAAATATTGCAACAAGGATATAAACTATTTAAAAATATTTAATTATTATGCCATAAATAAAGAATAACATAATGAATTTAATCTGCTTCAAAATCACGTGAATGTCTTATTTAAATAAAAAAGTTAATGAATATTTATTATGTATCTATTAGCTAAATTATTGCTCTGCTGCACAATTGAATTGAATTCACTTTCCCCGTCTTAAAATTCAACGTTCAAAACAATATTTCTATTATAATTATTATAATAAGATAAGACACGTGAGGTATTAATGAGTTTTCAAATTAGTGCACAGCGAGTAGACTAACATGTTTTCTCGACATTTAAATTAGCACTATGTTTTCATCGGTGGAATAACATTAATGATTTAAAAAAATAAACATATTGCTCTTGTGTACTAACAAATACACTTATTCATGTAGCATGAGAGCAATGATACAAAGCGTTTTTTGTGTTAAAATTGAACAATAGTGAATTCAAGGGAGGTCATTCGTACTGTATGTTTCTTTAAAAAGTATTACTTTCTTTGCTTGCGTTAGTATGTTTCATAAAAAACACAATACTATTTTAACGTCGAGCTAGATAAAAGTAATGTGTACATAGCAAATACTACTGTAATATTTTAGAGGTTGAATAGTGTCAAATAGAATGGAAAAGGCGTCACTACTACTTTCATAGTGCATACATCAATTGTTCAGCTTTTAAGACATTTAGTTTAAAATAATTATAATGATCAGCTTATGAAATTTTTGTAAATACTCAAAATGTCATTTGATTTTTTTAGCACTCCTAACAAAAGTGTCTTTTTGCATATAGTTATATTTGATTTGATACCCGATATATCAATATATAAATTAATGATAAGGCGATAAAGGAACTGATACATATTAGTTTATCTGATGAATAACTAGACAAGTTTTTAGATAATTTGCCATTGATGAATTAATTAGACGTGCATAGATTATATTGTAATTAGTGAGCATTAACACTGTAGCGAAGAAGTAGATAGGTGAAATTTAGCAAATTTGTCTCGTGGTTTTCTTTTAGAGCCCGTCAATGACACTACAGTTATATAAATAGTAATTAATTTAAAACAAAGTGCTGTTTTATTGATTGGCGAGTGTTGTTTTCTAATATCTAAAACAACGATATTAATCGTTGTAAAATATTTAATTTAAATTATGAAGTTTATAAATGGTGACTTACCGATTAACAAAATAGAAACGTGAAGCAAAATGAATCCGGATCGCGTTAATTTTTTCAACACATTAATATCCATTTTAATGTTTTTGATGGTTCAATGTCTTCAAATGTACCGTGTTCTAATAAATAGTAAAATATTATTAAAGTGCTAAATAATTTTTTTTTTTTAACATTATGAATGATTTTGTTGAAATTTATTGTAATTTTAAACATAGTTTTTATATACATCTATGACATTCTTAAAAAAACTTCATTTGCTATGTTATAATAATGTGTCATTTATTATTAAGCAAGAAGAGTGGCTCTTCGATTAAGGTTTTTCATTAAGAGCTAGTTTATAATAATTATTTATTAGCTCTTAATGTATTTTGGTGTTTAATTATATTACTCTAAAATATTTTGTTAATTTTGCAATAATACAAGTTCATTGATAGCTTAGTCAAAGTCTAAAATTTACAATCAATGTTGGTAATTTTTAGAGTATCATAATGAATTTTCGATTATAAGACATTCTATTATATAAATGCGTCGTAAATTTTTAATTCTCCAATATAATATTTAAAATCCAATCAAGTATATAAATCAAGTTACACAACACTAAGTATATTTTTGTTTTCAACATAACTAAGGGGATTATATTAGTTAAAGTTTGAAGATTTTTATTAGCATAAATGTTTTTCCGAATTTCTCATTAGATTTTCTTGTGATGTTGAAAGAGTATTAAATAATTAAGCAACGAATTAAAGTCGAAATTTAAATGTCGAAATGTTAGATGTCGAAATTTTTAGGTTACTATGTTAGTGATGTTAGTTTTCACCATACTATTTAGTGTGTCATTTATAAAATGCCTACATAACATAAGTTTAAGTTATAGTAAAAATAGTTACACACAACCATCTTATTGTAGTATATTTAGTTAGAAGATTATTTTTGAATTTATTATTTGCAAAGTTACCTCCCTTATTTAAATTTTATTTAAATAAGTCTATATATTTTCGTATAGTATACCTCTAAGTCAGTTTTGATTTAGTTTTTTTTATTATTTATGAAATTATTTTTAATAAATTTTGAAATTATGGGCACGTATAAAATTTTAAAGATATCATTGAAATAAATTAAATTTTGTTACTCTTCTTGAAGGAAATGTTACATGGTTAATGTTTTTAGTCATTTGATTTATTATTACGGAGAAATGAATCATATTAATTTAAGAAATTTAAATGTTCCATGAAGTTCATAATAAGTTGTGCACTAAGCGGTTTGTTTAGAAATCAACGTGATGGAATCCCCATAGTTGAGAAAATACTTTATGATTGTTGTATTTAACTGTAAAATTTTATATCTCTAATATATATTCTAACAGTAATTTAATAAAAGGAAAAACTTATTAAGTCATCAATAAAAAAAAATGAATCAGAGTTATTCGAAGTAATATTAATTAATCACTGTTAAGTATCATGTTTAAGATATAACTACCTTAGGATAAAGGTTTTTAATTCAAAAGAACATTAGAACAGTTTTTAAATTAAGCAATAGCAAATTACCATTGTGTTCAACAATCATCCCTATTATTTGTTTAGAAAGACTAGTAATTTTTTTATACATCTTGATATTGTCTTTGTTGCAAATGAAATAATCTTAGAATTATCGATAACCTCTACAATTATTGACAATACTTATATTGGACATGTAAGAAAACCCAACTATTTCTTTAAGTACTTTTTATATGAAATGGATTGAAGTTAATTACAAACCATTACTCCGAAAAAGTTGGAATTATTTATAAGGGGTTAGATACAACGAGATTGATCGTTATATCAGAACATTGTATTTTTGGTGTTCACATAACATCAAAAATGTTGTTTGAGTGCTGATATAGGAATCATAGAATAAATAGAATAGATGAACATTTTTGGATGTGTAATAGTTGTGTATTGACGTTACTGTCACGTAAGTTGAGCGTACGATTATTGTTTGTTTACTATTATCAGTCGGCAAAGAGCTTAAATGCTGGTCGTTGTCTCGTTGCCGAAGGTCATAGTGAAAGCGACACTTTCTCCGTTTCTTCGGTGGCGTCAAACATATCCGGATTAACCCCCACGTATGCCTACTGTTGCATAATATGTTAGTGTTGTTTTTTAAAACGCCGGCCAGAGTTGTACGGTAATTTTGTAAAGTAGCCGTGGCACACTGAACATTTATTAATATTAATTCATATGACACACCTTGTAATAAATCTACGTAGCTCCAGTCCCAGTTGACTAATCATAGAGGCGTAGGGTGCGTAGAAAATAGTAATGCGTAAACCGACTTACTCGAATGAAACAACGACCGTCAGTTCTTCGTGTAATGTAGACTTCATGGTTCAAATCAGGGATTTTTAAAAAATAAATAGAATTCGAAAACACGCGCCGAATCGATTTTTTTCATAACAATGTTGATATATACACGAAGTAGATATTAGCACGCGTTCAATAGCAAAGCGTGCGCCTACAACACGGTGTCGTGGACACTACTGGAGAGTAAGAGACCACGACGATAATGCCCCCGGCCTTCGAGCAGACCGGTATGGGTCTCCCACTTTTGAGTCTTAGTCTGTGGAGTTTTCATTCCCACCTTGAAGACACTACACAGTGATGCCGGCACGTCTCTTCTTTCACCTACTTTCCTGTACGCTTTCTACGGACCGCGTGCTCCAACAATGAGTACTTTTAGATGTGACTCACAAAAAATAAAAAACAAAGGTCTTAGAACTTTTGATAGCTTTTTAAGCGTACCTGTTATCGTCTCTCGAATCCGTTTTGAATAAACAAACATTTATCTAATTAATGCGTTCCTCACTTGAACTTTTGTTTTTGTACGATTCTTTATTGTACGGAATAAAATATTTTATAGTTGTGGTTAATATTGTGACAACATAAATATATAGTTGGTCGAACTATCACGTCGGTTTGAGTCACTAAATAAATTTAGTTTTTAGTTAATTCTTTACTGTATAAGATAGTTTATCTAACTACATATTTAAGATGTCACTATATTCACATAATTTGTGTTAGCCTAACTATATCAATTTTTCTGTATAATACTTGGTGGGCGACGGTAATTCTTTTGTCACCAATATCTAACCATTTTGTTATTTACTGTTTCATCGTTTTAATTTCGACCTTTGATTATTTTACTTTAATTTAAACATCATTTAGTTTAATTTATATAGTAAAACTAAAACAATAATTTATATTTTAAAGCTAGTCGCTTACCTAGCTGAGTTGGAACGTGTCGGTGCATAGGTATTGGGGCTCGAAATCTACTGCGCTGGGATATGTTAACTTTCCTTTCTTCTCTGGCACAAGAAAAGCTCTTAGAGAGAACGTACAATATAAATAAATAACAATAATAACAAATTATATAAATTCAATTTTATTATTTATATAAATAAATTGATTCGAACTTTAACTCTTAATTTAAAGTCTTCAATTTTTATATTATAGTAACCATTAATTGATTGGACTTCACTCTTCAAAAATTCTTTACTAAAAAATTGTGTTACTCAATAGATAATTCATTACTAATTTGGTAGAAACAATTAATGTTTGTTTCTGTGTGAGTTTAGATCGAAAAATAGGTGTAAAAAATGTATAGTTGTATAACAGGTTTAATTAACTTGTCGCATTTTATTTTCTTATGTTAAATGTAACGGGAAGGGCCGTTGATAAAAGTGAAAGGACTTTATAAAAAATAACTATTGAACTGTAAAAGCAATAGTTTTTGTTTATTTTTTTTGTCAGAAAGATACTTGTAACTTCGTTTATAAATTGTAATTAGTTAATTAAATTGCATTTTTCAAAATTTCGTGTCACTTCCGATCATTTATTTAAAAATAATTTTTTAAGGTTAAATAATCGTGATTTAGAAACGACTATTATTTAGATATAATTATAAGATTATTTATACACTAATACTAGTAGAATTATTTGAACAAACTTTCAATTTCACTAAAACGTATTAGAAGTGACTTATGCTTTCTATTTATTTACTATATTAACATTAAGATGTTGATAACATATTTATGAACATGTAATTTTATACATTGATCTCGACCTTGACTAGAAGGGAAAACAGTAATTTCTTTAGGTTTTGTCGATAGTAAAAGGTTATATTTCATAATTACCGTTGCACGAATAAAAAAAAAAA